CAGGTTTATTCATACATCTCAGATTTCAAAAATTCACTCAGTGAGGCTCCCGGCTCAGAATTCACTTACAAAGCCTTTTTCGTGTAACGTTTGCACCCTTACTAGATGAGTGGTGATGTGTTTGGCCTGAAGAAGTTTGGCTTGAAGAAGGATGTCGACGGTGGATATATTGATTATTACCACGAAGTCTTTGCCCACAGAAGATGGCAGGTGTTCCAGAATTCACTTACAAAGACACCTAGTTAGTTTGCAGCGTGAATTAGCACAGCGCAACTTGCATTTTGTCCCCAATATAAAAACACAAGAGCTTGTCTGACTCCAGTTTCCAAATGGCGGCTAGTTACTGTTTTCGGTTGATAGCTATAGGTATGAGCTTCTCTGTATTTGGCCGACCTTCAGTTTTATCGAAGTTCTTCGGAAATAATTTCGATATACATAGTACTGAAATTGACTTTTGTGAATCACTTAACCAATTGGGTGTGGAGAATTCGGTTAGGTCATTTCGTCCGTCGGACATTACGGACAGGGAATTTCGTGCTCCGGCTACAACCAGTGGTTTCGGGATAGGATAGATTCAGTTTTTACGGAACACTAAAGTCGCAGCGTCCCCATCATGCGACTTTGATGAACATCTTATAAGGACTACCAACAAATAGGATGATCGGCTCACTACACACAAAGAGCTGAAACGGGTTATATCAACTCCTCGGATCAAAAGCGTCATGGTGATTGCGAGAGAGAGAGTGGGAGAGAGAGGACGAATCTGATTGGCTGGTCAGTCAGGTCGATATACGACCTGAGAAGTGAAGTCGGGCGACCAATCGCAAATCAGTGGGAATCGGGTATGGTATCATGCGAGATAAGTAACACAAAGGAAGAAAACAAAGTAAAATTGAAAGGCACTGAAATCCATTTCGTTTTTTCTATTGTCCTTATCCCACAATCGTTTGTAGAAAAATAACGCAATCGGGAGTTGATTTTGGTTGCTTCGTCATTCGAAGAATGCAAATAAAAGTTAGCCAAATACACTCGTTTGTACACTACTTTGGTTTTGACGGGTGACTCACCTAGAACTCAGCTGAATCTCTCGCTTCTGATGTTTCTAAGCCTAATAACATATGGCGTTTCCTGGTGCAGCACATTCAGTTGCGTGAAAACATCATAGACGAGAGATTCAGCTGGGTTTCAAACCAGATGAAAGCCTACATTGCAACAAATGCACTTATTTGCATGTCAGTATGGTTTTCATGAGAGGCTCAGCTGAATATCTCGTTTATGGTATTCTTCAACTGAACACATCGTTGAGTCGAATTATTTTCCTGAACGAAATGTACTTCTTGCTTTCAATATGACATGCGGTAGGTTAGACCGCAAGATATCTGTATGAAATTCTCTCTGAAGAAGCAGAATGAAAACACCCTATTGGGTCTCCCATTTCAACAAAGGGAGCTGTTAACTGCGCGGTCCAGTTCGTGATATTGCTCGCAACTGATTTTTGCATTCTCTCGAAAGTTGGTGTATATGCTTTTAAGCAGCAAGTGAGTTTTTTTGTGATGAGGAAAGGCAAATTGGTCTGCTTCCTGCGTCATCTTTATTCACACCATCTTCGTGCCCTCTACTTGATCCACACATCCGTGCAGACAACAAGTACTTTTGATCAACTCGTGAACGTAAACGGTTGTCTACTTGGAATGAATTTGGCAGCTGGTTCACTGGTTCACTCAGAATGATACCTTTACAAGCGTTCCCCAAGAGGTTTAAAGCTTCTTGCCGGTGGATATCAGTTTCTTCTCATTATGTTCCAAATCTTATCCGCTTGATACTTTTTTACACATTGTTCTGATTGTTTTTAGAACTACCTCCAACGTAATTTCAAGAGTAGTATTTATTAACACCAGTTGACAGATGTACGCTAAAACGGACAATAGGGAAAGGGCTGGACCGAACGGTAAATTATGGCAGTTGATCTGATGTAATAATGGTAATCCATGTAGTAAGCTTTTGTTCCTAGTGAGCAAAGCTCACAGACATCACAGACACGAAGCAGCCCGCCTTTTAGTTGTAATATTTGAGTTATAGTTGTGAGCAAAAGAACTCCTTAGATGGACATTGATATAACAAGTGTCCTGAGACCTTCCCCAAGTAACTTCCATACATTCTCAAGTGTTGTTCTCTTCCAACCCCAACAGATTCGGTGTCATCTCTTCTGCGGTTCCGGAACCCACTCCCTCGGAGCTCCTGTTGCCAGACAGTAAGTCATGACCGAAAGTTGCACATTGCCAACATATATGATAGACAATTTGGTTTTCCCGGTACATTGAGATTCTGGTTTCGGGAAAATCGATCACGACATCGTTGAGTCGAATTATTTTCCTGAACGAAATGTACTTCTTGCTTTCAATATGACATGCGGTAGGTTAGACCGCAAGATATCTGTATGAAATTCTCTCTGAAGAAGCAGAATGAAAACACCCTATTGGGTCTCCCATTTCAACAAAGGGAGCTGTTAACTGCGCGGTCCAGTTCGTGATATTGCTCGCAACTGATTTTTGCATTCTCTCGAAAGTTGGTGTATATGCTTTTAAGCAGCAAGTGAGTTTTTTTGTGATGAGGAAAGGCAAATTGGTCTGCTTCCTGCGTCATCTTTATTCACACCATCTTCGTGCCCTCTACTTGATCCACACATCCGTGCAGACAACAAGTACTTTTGATCAACTCGTGAACGTAAACGGTTGTCTACTTGGAATGAATTTGGCAGCTGGTTCACTGGTTCACTCAGAATGATACCTTTACAAGCGTTCCCCAAGAGGTTTAAAGCTTCTTGCCGGTGGATATCAGTTTCTTCTCATTATGTTCCAAATCTTATCCGCTTGATACTTTTTTACACATTGTTCTGATTGTTTTTAGAACTACCTCCAACGTAATTTCAAGAGTAGTATTTATTAACACCAGTTGACAGATGTACGCTAAAACGGACAATAGGGAAAGGGCTGGACCGAACGGTAAATTATGGCAGTTGATCTGATGTAATAATGGTAATCCATGTAGTAAGCTTTTGTTCCTAGTGAGCAAAGCTCACAGACATCACAGACACGAAGCAGCCCGCCTTTTAGTTGTAATATTTGAGTTATAGTTGTGAGCAAAAGAACTCCTTAGATGGACATTGATATAACAAGTGTCCTGAGACCTTCCCCAAGTAACTTCCATACATTCTCAAGTGTTGTTCTCTTCCAACCCCAACAGATTCGGTGTCATCTCTTCTGCGGTTCCGGAACCCACTCCCTCGGAGCTCCTGTTGCCAGACAGTAAGTCATGACCGAAAGTTGCACATTGCCAACATATATGATAGACAATTTGGTTTTCCCGGTACATTGAGATTCTGGTTTCGGGAAAATCGATCACGACAAGCTGCGAATAGAGAGAACAGACTGAATGTTCCCCTTGTACCACAGTATAATTTTGCAAACTTGAGACCGTGATCAGAATGCCGCAACATCAAGTTATTTGTTCCAACTGTGATTACCTGCTTATATTTTCGCTTGTAGTTCTTCATTTAATGCAGGTCAGCCAGTAGGCGATTGATCGTAGACGATCGATTAACAGGGAAACAACTTCTCCAGTTCCAGGTTAATCAACGTTGACAGAGATATGTAACTGTTCTATTTGATGGACATCACATTCATCGACAGCATCGGTAATATTGTTCCGAATTGCCAATTGCTGTGTTCTGATTGTGAGTTTGAGAAATTTAGATGTGCTCTGCTAAACCGATAGACAATACCGGATGCACATCTGTTCAGGTGTCATTCATTCTCATGGGGACCATAGAGTTTTGATCAACTCGCTGATCCCGTTGTCTTCAAATTGACATGCAGTTTATAATGCTGCTCTGTTTTGTTCACTGTCATTGCAAGATATTCATCTAATGAGCTTCTTAACTCGTTATCATTGTGATTGATAGTTGAAATGAGAACAGATAACCATCAGGAAAGGGACAGAAATTACCGATTCATTCTTCTACAGATATGGTCTAATTGTGATGGAATAATGCACAGTTAATGTGCAGAGATTTATTGCTCGACTTTTCGGTCACCATGCGGTATGGAACAATCAAAAGTATGAAGAAGACCTCAAAATGATAACCATCGTCAGAGGATACTTTTTTATTGAGAAGTTCATGGATTTGTTCAAACTGTAAGACGGCTACCTGGATTTCCATCCAACTTGATGTTCCGAACCACTGAACTACAGAAACGACCTTGTTCGCACCGAAAGGTTTGATCTTCTGGTGTTACAAACATTGGCTTATGTACACAAACATCGAAAATATCCAGTCGGGAAAACGGAATTTTTAATCCAGCCTGATGTGGACATGCGTAGCTGTGCACTTGCACACCAGGTGTTATAGGAATAACACTATCGCCCAAACTTTCCAGCCACCGGTTTTTACTTAAGCTTGAGATTTCCAGATGGTTATTTTTTACTAGAAACACATTTTTCTGCGGTTATACACATATATATACAACTAAACTCTAGAGATAACTAATCAAAAAGAACGGAATGTGTCTGCCGGTTTATTTGTAGATAAATGAAACGCAAAAGCTATTTACGTAAAATTGCAACTGATTATCACTTCAAACCACGAATGTGACTTGATCGCTCTTTGATAAGCTGGTCTTATTCACCTTGTTGAGAGCAGCATGGACTATTGCGTAATGTCGAGAAAACTGAAATGACTGTAAGTCCCGAAGTAGGTGCTGATGCTTCATGAGTGACCGACTTGTGAAGGAAGTCGGAAAACCATTTAGTCCACTTGGTTAACTTTTGTTCCTCGCGTCTCTTGATAATGGGTTCTAGCATACAATAAAACAAAGGGACGATTCCTCCTCGCGATATTATTTTTCAAAGATTCACAACCAATAATCAAAGCACTGGCGCATTTTAAAATCCTACATGTTTCTGTGCATCAGCTTTTGTATGATTTTCAATTTCTAGGCCCTGAGTACAAAGCCGTCGCCATGGAAACCCTAGAGGAGCTGGAATGGTGTCTGAAACAGTTGGAAAATATACAAACCAAGCGACCGGTCTCCGATATGGCGTTCTCTAAAGTGAGTTGATTTTAGCTTCCATAAACCAAACTGTTTGGTTTGAACGTTGACATGTATACGCTCAAAACGATCCTCGCGGAAACTATCCGTAGAGCTTCGGAGTACGTTAGGCCAAATGGAAAACAGGCCCCAGGCGAATCATACCAATCGGGAGATTATGTCCTGAAGTGAAACCCTTCTTTATAGATCCTAACTAGTATAAGCCTCTCGTGTTCACCGAGTACACAACTTTATATATATATATATATATAATATATACCTCGTATGTGTATGGTGATTACGTATGTAAAGCTTAAAAATCTTGACGCATGGAGTCACGAAACATGGGAAGGAACTTCTTCCCGTCCGATCCAATCGACCCTCCATGCACTGAACTAAATCCTATGTTTGCACCACTGTGTGCAAACGACAAAGAGACTCGACCTTCGGATTAAAAATCCAAGTACCCAGAAGGTCTTTGAACTCAGATCAAGGGTGTTCACAATGTGGAACTCTGGGATTTCAAGGGCAGAGGTCACTCCATCACCGACCAGGGGACAGGAGCAGGAAGAGAGAGGTAACTGACTATCCAAGACGCAGGACAACAAACTGACCAATAGGACCACCTCATGTCTCCCATACTAAGCTATGGCAGTAACATTCCGGACATTTAATCGGGATGAGTGATAATTTTGCTTGCTAAATGGCGCCTGGAAGACAGAACAGAGCGAGAACAATGTTCTTTTGGTTCTCTTTGAACAGTTCAAGCAGAGCGGAAGCACTGTTTGGGATCAGCGCAATTTTCAAAACTAGCCCGTGTGAATCGGAGATGCAGAACGGCTTTACAAGTAGAAAGCTACCCAAAACTTAAGCTAACCGAACACATAGTGAGTGCCTACAAACCACTGCGACCCGAGCACATGGAAATTCGAGAGACTATTGATCGTTTCGTCCACAAACGCTGTGGAGTGGCTCAGCATTATATCTGTATCAGTTTATCCTCAGCTGCATCTCCGGTTAGAAAACAGATTGAGAAATTAACATATTACCCTGTAATATATTGTGGTGGTTCCAATGTGACGTATAGCTTGTCACGTCACCAATTCACTATTCGCCTAGACACCTTTATGATGTAGATGTGTCGATAACTCTGGTTCGCCAAACCGCTTTTAAGTACACACAAAATTGTTTGTTCACCACCGACGATTCACTGGTCCAATTCGTAATTTCTGCACTGTTTGGTTGTCATCTAACACGATGATTGATTTTTTCATAGTTAGCTAACAAGGTCTGCGTTCCATCTCCCTCAAATGTTCTCCATCTCAGTCAGACGGATTAGCAAACTGGAGAATTAAAATACGTCTGTTGACCGAAACTGACAACATAGTGTGTCAGGGGAGTGAAAACAGCGTTACCAAGGTTTCAGAGTGGTATGCGCATCCAAGTCATGCTTGTTCAGCTTGTGGCCGTCCCGGAAACAATTTTTTTAGAGCAATGAAGTTCCACGGCTTTCAAGAACGACTTAAAATACACTTTATTGGTCACTTTCATACCTAAAACCTGTTTTAAGAGAGAAGCTAAGGATGGATTCTGGTATATAACCATCACAATTCACAAAGAGTGCCAGTTAACTGAACAGAAATGGTAAATGTCATACATTGTTCGTTGCGACTGTGGAAGAAGACAACCCCCCTGAGTGTAGCAGTTTGTCAAATGACACACTAATTAAACACTGTCTCTCTTTTGGGCCTGTCTCCTTTTTCGGCCATGTGATATTCCTGAAATATAACCTCTATCAGTTAAACCATACGAAAATCTGAACTTCCATTGTTGTTTCGGACGGTTTTTCGTGGCAACCTAATAATGGAGACTAACAAATACCCATCCCAAATTCAGCAAAATTCGCACCAGTCATTACATCGTTTGTGTTTTTGTGTTTTTCACAGAATAGTTGATTTGGCTGCTCTGAAATACATCCTCCGAAATATTGTTATGCTTAGTTGGGAACAAAATAGCTATGTGGTAAACCGTGTCACCCGTTCTGATAGTTTCTAGACGAACAAACTCTATTCTGGCCCGTTTTTATCGATTTAAACTACGTGACTGAACGCAGACGTGAGGTTCTGTGACAGTTAGACACGATACTAAAATTGAAAGGAAGACCCATTAAATGTTAGAGCTGTATGTATCAGGGATCCTAGATGGTCTGTTGCGGCGTGATCATGTCACTTCTGATTGCATTGATCAGTTTAGTATAGGTTGCCATGAATCCAGTGGTGAAATACACTGAATATCCCCAATTGCTTATTTATCCTGTCGTTGTTGGAAGTCCAAAACAAAAACTGCCCCTTGGCTTGCATACAGATAAACATTTTTAGACTGGGAACTCTGACGTGCTATCGTGTTATTGAACCTGGGAGTTATGACCTCCTGAAGTTGAACTAGCAAGCATGAAAAATTGGTTGCAGCGCACACCTGTAACACATCCGTAGCCCTGGCTGAGGGAGAAGTTCCTTTGAGTGCTGGCTTGTTCATTTATGAACGCGAACAAATCGGTTACAAGGTATGAGACACCAAAGTAAGGCCCTCATTTGGGTAGTTTTTGAGGGGGCTAACGACTGCAAGCGTAATCCTCAGCTTTCCCGAGTGTGTAGTTAACCATAGCCGATTTCCTGATGAACAGAAGAACGTGGATGTTTACTGTGCATCACTGTGAATTCGCACTTGCCTATGGTTCACTGGATTGACACAAGGTTGCTGGAAATGCGATCAGCAGGTTTACTTTCCACTCGCCGTTCACGGCTGCCCACCACTGCCTGCTAGTTTGGTTGTTGCTTTCCGTTGGTCCATCCGTCTGATGGTGGTAGTGTTCGGTCCTTAGCCGATGGATAACCAGCCTCTGAAAGCAACTCCTGCATTCCTCACCCTGATACGTTAAGATCATCTTCGGTATCTCGTGGTTTACCACAGTGCTTTGCCACTTCACTGGTCGTAGACACCCGTCGATTCAACACGGATACCCCCTCGACTCACCGCGACACGTGCTGTCTCGTTATAGTGATCTACTGATTACCATCATCTGTCACCGGCTGCCTGACGTTGAGCTACCGTAGCTCTCTCGCTCTTCATAAAGGGAGTGTGTGAGTTGCCCCTTTAGAATTTCATTAATCAGATGTCTTGCTTGCAAATCAAAACGTAAACCACCATCTCACTTCTCACCCCTGGCCACTATTACCTTTGCTGATGCAAGGCATGTGTCTTGGGGTATGCTGTATGAGCCATCTTATGACGTTCGATAATTGGCTTTCTTCTGAACTCACGACATATCATGAGTATAATGACAACCGAATCGTCGGCATAATAACATACAGTGTGACTCAGTGGTTAGAGAGCGACTTTACTGACTGAAGGTTCCATGGTTCAAAACCGACCCCCGCCTTTCGACTTCCCCTTTCTGAACTTAAGCAACCTGGCAGTATCCCAGCACTCATGCTTCCTTCTAGTGGCATGACAGTCACCGAAATAGTGCTACAGGTGGATAGTTTCGATGCTAGCCTCATTCAGACTAAATCTGGAAAAGCCCTCTTGGAATGTTTCTAGTTTTTTGGCTCCGTGTCCTTTACAATATCTAACAAGACGGCCGCACTTTTCTAGCCGCTATGATTCCACTAAGCTCTCGGGTTCAGTCTCACGACGAGACTGCTAGCATCGATCATGATCTATGAGGTTCACCTCGAACCTCTCGCCTTCAAAACCAACCGGCCAATGGAGTCTCATTACGCGACAGGTGCTGGATAATGAACTCATCTTCATGCAGTCGGAGTACCCAGCTCGTGGGCCTTTCCTGGGGATTTCTGGTGGTACTTATTCACTCGAGTGTGAAACTTTTTCCCAGAAACTATAATCTTTACTTATCTGGGGCCCAGACGACCACTAAATATTCTTTCACGAAAGTTGAATGCTTTTCCCTAGCATTAATCAGAGCACGGCCGATATGATGACATTTCAGCACGACTTCGAAGTTCATTGGCTGTTCCGGTTCCGAATCGCTGGTGACTTTATCGTTTCCACACATGCCAACAGTCTCTAATTCCTTCCATAAATGAAATATGAAGCGCCAAAAGTGAATGATTCCCTTGGCTAACCAAACAGCGCTCTTCTAGACTGATAGTGGGTGTCCCCAACCGTGGGGGCCGTTCTCTCTCGATGCCCTAGCCTGATGGCTGGCCTCCAGTTTCCAGAACGCAGGTTAAACGCAGTAAAAGGATGGCTGCTGTCGGCTTCATGGTCAAATCAATCGAACGCTAGAAATCCATGCAAAATATTCATTTCCTGCTGTGATTCGTCACCAGGACCACAGGGAGTTTGTACAAATGGTTTGCTCCCTCGGTTATACCAAATTCAAGCGTCTCTCCTAACAGACTATGGACCTCATCCTGTAGATTTAGTGATATCTGACGATCGTCGAAGTGTCAAGAGCTTTCAGAAGACAGAGGGATTGCGTGTTCCGTCTACAGACAATGGCTGACGGATCTTTCTCACTTGTACAAGGTCCCACATACTCCACCAGGTGCTAACTGAACCCCACAAGACAGGAACTTTCGAACAGTCCAGGACAGTGATGATGTAACCTTCAAAGCTGACCGCGCCGTACGTTGATTTCAGCTTACACAACGTACCCAACTCTTCAGTGTACTTTGATTAGTCGGTCCACTCCTGTTTGCAGACGAGAGCCGCCATCCTTGTGACTCCACTGTGGCCAGTAGCACTGCTGTCTCAAATGACAGCTACACCAGATCCTCCAAACTCAACTTTCCGGTCGCCATCGCCAACTGCAACTGAGTACCAAGCTTCGACGCCGTGTCATCGACTAACTGATCTCACGGCAAATACGGACTGAACAACACTTCCAGTGCGGACAAAATACGGTCCGATCAACGGTAAAAGCTTGCCAAGAACACTATCAAGTCACCGCCGGCTCTCATCCTGGATGACATTAATCGCCCCATATCCCCTTGATGGTAGTCTTATTAGTTGACTACGGATACAACCGCTTACTTCGCGGTGAGCTGGTCCATCTTCGCAGGGTCCCTTTTAACCGAGTCCAGCGCACCAATCACCCAGTTTCCGTAAAAAGTCCTCAGCGCTGCCACGAGATCTATGTTTGGATCTTTTTCGCGATACCGAATAAAGCACTTTCGAATGCGGAGTCGCTTATTGATAACACGAAAAAAGCGCTTTCAAGCCCTTTAACAGGAAAGTAAATCCACCATATGCACTGAGATTTCGAGAACAGCCCCCCCCCTAATGTTCTCGAAGTTCTTGAAAACTTGACTTTAGTTAACAAGCTATGCAAAACCGTTCAGTGATTCCCAAATTACCAGCTCATCGGATACAGAGACGTCAGTTGAGACTATTGAACAGATATTACTCGCGTGTCTAATCAGTAGTACAAACCGTTATAATGGGTGCTTGACTACATAATAGGTTTTGCTAGTAAAAACAAAACATCGGGACTAGCCTGAAAATTCCAAAAGGATTCACTGAACTCCGCTGATTTATGTATTTGTGACATAAATATAAGTATAGCATTATGATTCACCTAACAAACTGATTCACATTGTTAAGCCCCACCGTGAGTACAAGAGCCACGTAACCACCAATGGCTAGGGTTTTACATGGCATTACTTTTGAAAATAACTTAAGAGATGACTGGACGTCCACAAAGTCTCTGTAATATTAGCCTCTAGTGAAACGGAGAAACATCCTAAAATCTTCATTTACCCCTGCATTGCTGAAACAAAATATTCCAGGAGTTGTAGAATAAGTTCTGCAACTGAAGGAAGATCTATTTCTTTCTCACCCTTTCACTAATAGGGGGGTCGGCACAGATGTAGAGATCGAACCCAGGTCATCGGCACCGTTTTCCAAGAACTTGTCCATTCGGCCAATCGAGCTGGCTTCAGTTCCTTATTCGGCTTTAAACTAAAATCACTACACACCTTTTATACCATGATACCGTGTTATGTCTGATCTTAAAACTTACTCATTTTTATTGCTGGCGATCGGTAGCAAATGTGACTAACCTTGATAATCAATACTCTGCTTAACTGTCAGATTACGTTTTTCACTACTACACGAGATCCAACCACATGCGAGTAGAATTTCCATCTTATCATAATGACGACTGATAATACTTTTTTATCGCCAGCTTTCACTGATTCCTCGTCTATCACCAATTTCCATCTACCCTTTTTTGTAGTTTAAACGACTTTTAAACAAGGAGTTGAATAGCTTTGGAGAGACAGATAAATCGCGACACGAAATTTCCGCCTATATTTGTGGGACTTTTCTTGGTAAGTTGCGACAATCGAATGTATGCACGAATGTGTATGGATGTGTTTGTCCAAAAGGGATAGGGGCGAGGAATTTTGTCTCCGTACTGAAATTCAATACTCAACACAACTCATCGACCATTCTTCATTAAATGTGGTAATCAGAATTGTCACGGAAAGCTATTTTGTATCAACCAAAGGATGCTGAAATGCTAGTCATGTGTGCACACGCATAGGAATCAGATGTAAAGGATGGTTAAATTGGAATTGTGAACACGAGTTGCTTTCGGAAGCGATCTTATGGGAGGAAAAAGTGTTGGCATGACGTTTCCTGAGTAATCGTGTGCTCTGTGGTATAACTGGATGAAGTTCCTTACTACAACCTGAGTTAATTAGTTTTGCCTATCAAAAAACTTTTTGGAACGGCTAATTGTCACAGTCCTCAAAAGATAATAATTCTGCGACCAAGTTCATCTACTATTCTGTGACTTTCACAAATTGATTGTGCTGTATTCATAACGTTTCCAAACCCCCGAAAATTTTCATGTCTGGATCGTGAGTGATTGTCACGTACGATCTCTGTGTATTATTCTTTGATAGTTTTTTAAGTCTCCGTTCTTTCAAAGTTGCTGTATCAGTCACTGAAACCAAAGCCTATGAACTGTCTACCTTATTCTATCTTATACCAGCACGGTATGACCGAATTTATCGATCGCACGTAATGGAATATTTTTTGTTTGAGCACCTGTAGACCAGATTTATAGTCGAATAGTATTTTTGCTGATAGTTTTTTTCACAAGAAATTGCAACGTTTTAAACAGGTGTTTACCATCAAAACTTTGACCTTAATGGATGCGAGTCGTCAGGCGATAAGCAATCGGTCGGATAAACAAAGGGAAAACGTGACTAGGTTAGACATTTACCGATATGGTCAACACCACTGGCGCCCTTCAGATTGATCGAACCGCTAAAATCACGTGCGCGTTGGACGGAGCAGCGGTTGTGGCTGACGTGTGGAAATTGCTTACTGTTTTTTTTCTTATTTCCATGCTCAGATAGCCGTTTTGTTGATGCCCTTAGCCGTATTCTGGGTGAACTATCGAAAAACCAAGTTGGGTTGTTTTACGAAGTGATCGTAGCCGAAACATTTGTTTTCGGATTCTTGCATACTGAAACGACCTGACTCGTTTATAGGTGCATCCCTCCGTTTTTTCCATCTTATATGCACTCGTTCTGAACCTTCGGCGGCCACTGAATGTTTCGCTTATTTCCGGTTTTCATGAATACCATCCTACCTTTTTGCAGGCTTGTGATTGAAATATCTACAGATATTAGGGACTTCCTGTTAACATGAACAAGGAGCAGTAAGGAAATGATGACTTCATCCTACCCAATGTCACTAGTATCTGTTCCGACCACCTAGTTCCTATTAAAGACACAATAGTGTAGTGAAACGCAGTTGTGAAGGTAGATCCTGAAGATATCTGAGAACACATAGTGTGGCTTACGATGGTATTATCACAGCTAATCTTTTTACTACTCACAAACAGTTTAGTAGCCGCTGGGAGGCAAAAGCTGAGGTCTTCATCTGAGCGATACGAATGGACGTTCCAAGCATCTTACCTACCGAAGATGAGCTGCAATGCGCCTTATTCAAGAATTAGCTGATCAAGCTAGTGTTGACTAGATTTCAGCTCCAAGGTAGAATTTTCAGCTCATTCCTGAGGAATAACCCAGCTCCAAACACTACCTCATATTGACCTGTGAAGTGTGTGCGTATAGAATGTGTATTTTATTGTATTCGTTTGTGAAAAAGGTGGCCAGGTAATTTTTCAACAAATCCAGTTATACTCAGGTGACCAGAGCAAAAGAAATAAGAGGTTTGACTGTGTAGGTTTATGGACTAAAGAAAGGTTCGTAGTTCTAGTCCAACTTGTGCATCTCCATTGTCTCTGACTAGGTCTTGGTATCTTGACCACTTCTAAGCTCCCGTCCAGCTCCAAGCACCGGAAGAGTGTTATCTTCACCACACTCATTTCTCAGCAGTCTCTCCTCTGTCCTGGTACGATCACTCTAGTTACATTAAACGGTGCGAATACCGGACTAGAGCTTCAATCTTGTTGGACTTTATTGGTTTTGCGAATCTTTAATCATTCCGGAATTTCAGCTCTTCATGCCTGACATGTTGTCAGGCGGGGTGCTCCTGATTTACGACCACTGAGTGATTTATGCAGTTGTCCCATTAGAACTTGGAATCTATATTGATTGAGTAAAGACTTCCAGACAATTAGTGCCACGGTCATTATGGGCAAAACTATTAGCAATGCTCCTGGAGAGTCGGAATCTGAAAAATTCACTAAAAATGACGGCCTACTTGGACGGGAGTTGGGCATTTTACCTTATGCTTACCACGCGATTAGTCTACCTAGCGAGATACCTCGGACGCTGTCCCATTTTGCATAAGCACAGTTGAGGTCCACACTGATTTATCATGCCCGTTTCTAATGTATCAATAGTTATCATCTATCAGCGCCATCAGTGGGCACATTGTACGTGACGCCCACAATTATGAGACGTCGCGCGTTAGTTCCCACCATATTTAATCTAGTCCGTGTTCAACCACTTCCCTTTTGTTTTCCAAAGTTGACTGCCACTTTTCTGCTATGTATTCGATAAAGAAGACTGTCAACATTTGTTGCATATCTAGAGTGCATTATGTTTCAAAACTAGTAGTCTCTCCAGATAAGCTACCTAATAATTCAGTTGATTGAACCAGAGAACAGATATGGTTCGAACATTGGCTAGTGAAATAATACCATTATTTTTATCCCCAACTTATCCCCTTTACTCACAAAAAGAATCGTGGTACGACAGATCTACCAGATCTACCTTGGTATACTTGTCCCGGTAATGTTTCCTTCAAGAAGTTTCGAAGCTGCGTTCCGTTTAGACAGCACGCAAAACCAGTCATCCCATCATGTAGTCCTGTGTAGGAAACTCTTTCAAGAACGTTACGGATGGTGTCCTAGGATGCAAACTGAGTTGTCAGCTAAAGGACATCTGTCTTGCCTGCACACATAGATCCACGCGCACAAGCATATCTGTCACCAGTTAGGCCTGACCCCTAATTGATTTGAAATTGACAAAGAATTGAGCAGAATATAAGCACTCAGTGTGAATGATGTGGGGAGTAGCATCTTCAGAAAAGAAGTCAAACAGAACACCATTCTGAAGCTATACTGGATTGACGCGGAATAGTCAATTCAAACTATGAGCTGGAATATCCGGTTTAGACAGGGTTCGGGAAATCTTCGTTTCATAGCAGCCCATGTGTCTATTCCTTTTGGAAATCAGAAAGCTCTCAGTCCATGACTGCCCGGAAGTATACTAATGCCAGTGTGATATTGGGTAAGCGTTTGGAGCGCCGCATTAAGGACACACTTTCTTCCTGTCAATGGCTTTAAGTTCCGTTTTTTCGTTGTTCAGCGTCCTGGTGACGAGGGCTTCCTGTGTGTGACTGATTTCCGCTCCAGACACCGGATGTGGTCACCTCTTGTGTGGGGGCTCCGAACCGATGCATTTAAAACACGCTACAGTAGACCAGCCCAAAAAGCAAGTGACATCGCCGGTGATCGAATTTTTGAGTTGTAGCTCTCAGTGTTGGATCAAAGAAGGATGAACGAATGAATAACTACCGTGCTCTCGCCATTATGCAACTCTATACGGATTGAAACCAACAGTGGACAATTGTAGAGCCGACAGAACTAACACATTATCGCGTGGGTCTCCCAACCCCAGCTTGGATTCGTGCGAGTGTCCTATTTGCACGCTGTCCCCTTGACCACTATTCCACCTAGTTGGCTTAGGCCCCACTCACCACGAGTGCCTTCAAATAGGCTGTACGTCTCCATCCTAAGAATCTGTACTTATGTTGTTCCAGTGCTGGATGAAATCTAACCACCGATTGAATTCATTCGGTTCGAAGCTGTCTGTGATAATAAAACACCTCCTCCTCATCAGGACAATAGGAGGATTGTTGATAGTACACTGTCTAATTTTGAAATGTTCACTTCATTTTAGGAGGATTGTTATAGTATACTGTCTAATTTTGAAATGTTCACTTCATTTTAGAGGCTGATTGCGCCTAGTACCGATCCACCTATGATAGGGTTTGAAGGTTAGCCTGTTTCATTTTGTCTCCCAACTTCTGTGCATTTATTGAAGTCACCCATTTTTGTAACCATCGTTTATACTCTTTTATAGGGCACGATTTTTTCTGACATGACAATGCTTTATATGTACAAGTGTAGTTAAATATGATTCGGTTTTGAAAAGAAACAAATTGATGGTCAGCTCGACCTAAGCCCATGGGACCAGAATATTTGGTCAAGGAGAACTCAGATGCGGCGGTGCTTGGATTTTCGCACGGAACTCTGAACACCTTCAATTATGATGAAACTCCAGCAAGCGGCTGTACACATCATCAAATTCTACCCATAGGTTTGCTTTTTTATTGGATCACGCCGTATAGGAATGAAGCGCAGTGAGCTAATGAGATTGGAGTAGAAATGAGCATAAAAACGACAGCTTGTATTTTAAACAAGCGGTAAGCTATTACAGCGGACGCATGGATCTGAACCAGGTAGGCCGGGCTAACGTTACATCCTGACTGGCAAACACTTGTAGATCGGCTTTTCAATTTGTTACTCAGGAAGAAGGGGCAGTCACCACCGGAATGTTGTTTTGATCAAATTTAGAAGACGCTCTAAACTCACCGTCCTACCTCTATCGTATCAGTTAGATCTAATGGATCCGTTTAAATATGAACGCGATTCTGACTACACATTTGTGAACTAATTTAGACGTATAGGCTAGTCCGGTTTAACTGACACTTTCCTTGATGTGAATTGGGTTCGTGACAAACCTTGAAATTCTATGATTTCGTTCGTCATGTTCACTAGCTGTCTGTCATCCGTCGGGTCTTTCCCAGGTCCTGCGAAGTTTTTCATAAAGATGGCAGTTAGGATAGATTCACAAAGTGAAAATCCAGCCAACACTACGTGTAGGTTTCTGACAAGACGACTGTTCATATCATCTGTGTCGTCAGTCGGTTACTTGTTTTTGCTGGTAGCGTGTGTTTTTCACACAGAGACAGATTGGTTGGAGCAACTGTCGTCTAAATAACAAATTGTCAATTGGGTCCATATCGGAAAAGTACACAAAGCGTAAATTGTTCCAAATTATAAGCACAAAAGCTGCAAAGTGATATGGTCTGGTTAGATTCTCCCAGACTTGTAGAGAATAGTCGAGTAGGAGATTTGAGAAGCTGAACGAACGTCTGATCACAAGTAAACAACTAACAATATGTGGTGTGATTTATTCACGATTAAATGAAGATTGGCTCGTGTAAATTACTTGCAGGATACTTGCCTACCTTTCATTGTAGGGACTCTGTTCCTGCACAATGGGCACTCCAGGAGTTGTAAAACTCTAAAATGGTGATCACGATGATCCGAGTGAAAGAATGTACGATCAACTCAAGCACTGTATTTTACATGGACTTGTTCCCATCCTACCTTTTCAGAAGATTTGTAAAGCGACAAAGTAGGATAGGTTATTGGATAAAGAAAGTCATCTTTTAAGTGTCACCCCACCTTGTCTCAGTGACTTTGATATTCCATTCAGTGAACTATGAAAAATAGGTGTATGCTGTGAAAAATAGGTGTATGCTGTGACCATCTACTGCTTAAGGTCATGGGAGGCACCAAGGAAGGAGCCTCTGAAGTCAAACAACTTGGAAGGTTTCCCCATGAATGATCTGACGTCTGTATATTCGATAAGTAAAAAGATTTGTTTCAATCGACAGAGAGGCCAAAACTGGGTGCCTAGGAAGGAGACCAAAGGTTTCCTACATCAGCCGGCTGAGAACGCGTGGAATTCGAGTTCACGATGTTTTTTTAGACTTAAAGTCTGGTGGTGCCTTTCAACATATAAAGCTTTCTGTCAGAATGAAGACTGTAAACTTACGTATCTCGTTTCGGATTACTAGTTCTCCAGTGGCGAAAATTACATCAGAGTTTTCTAACTACACTATTTTATGCTTCATTCTCACGTTGTAGAAGATGAAAAGGATACGGAAGCGAATCAACAGATTGAACAAATGCTCGAACGACGCAGAAGCAGTGGGCAGTCACATGGCTCCAGTAATACTACAGAACAACCCACAGCCGCTGCTGGTTCTAAATCAAAACCTGTTGGGGAGAAAGAGACATCTGGTTTGATCCCCGATGGGCCGACGTCGGAGTTGATCACTCGGCCACCTGATTCTTCAGTAAACACTCAAGTGGCTCCAGATGAAGGCATAGATGACGATGTGAAGGACGTTTCAAAGGTGATCCAAATGCCAGTGAACGGGATAGTAACACCAAACGATATTGAACTTGACGAGGTAAGTGCTTCCGAACCTCAGTCAAGTAGCCATCCTCTTGAAGCCGTAAGTAACATTTCTGTAGCGCTGTGTTTTGGGACATCTCTTGACAGTTTTACATCATACAGAGGTTTCTTGACAAGCTCAAGAAATGACAGATGCTTCGCCAGACATCCGAGATGCCAGATGCGCATTGAAAGTATACGACATATACATATGGCCACGGCACAACATTTACCTCAAATTCGGCAGAGAATTCTGACTTCCGACTGGACACCTCGTTCACGTCTCCTGAGACCATTGAACACTTCTGGCCATCTTACCCGGGTTTTCCTGATTCGCCCATAAACACAACTCCACTGCCTAACCGGAGGGTTCAAGCATCACTTAGGTCACTTGTTATTCCCATTACTTAGGCCCTTTGATCCAGTTACCGGAAAACTATTGCCTGTCTGGAAACAAACGCACACGAATCGTGCTTTACCTTTGACATTTGAGCCTGAACTTTTTTCATTTTCGGTTGTCCCCATTAATCTGAAAACCGAGATCCTACGATTAGTTCTGAAAGAGCTTTGCTCCGCTAAAACCCAAAAGCGTTATTTTGAAAAGATACGAGATAAGGTAGTTTGGGATAAAAATTTGCGATTTTCTGGACATGGCAAATTTGTTTACGACAGTCTCAGTCGGCAATGAATGAAAACGGCACGTGATTTCCTTTCCTCCCATTTATCACTGAAAGCCCAGATGTGAACACACAGCAACCCAAGTCCTGTAGAATGTACGTATTGAAAATATTTTCTGAAATTGAAACTATTGAACTGAATAGACATTTAACCGAATGCTATACTTTGTTTATGATTTCTCCCATTGTTCCTTAGCGTTTTACACAAACACTGGACACGTGGGGAGCGGATATTTTTGAGATTGATAGACTTTCAGATGGTCATGCATTGACAACCACGGCGTATCGGATTTTTCAGGTAAGTCTTCTAGTTGTAAGAACAGAGGTCATCGCACTTTTAGGCATTTGTTTTGATCCCCTGTCTAGACAGACCAGCCAACTCCGTTTGAAAAAAAAAACATCCTAATCGCGCGCGGTGCACTTTCATGCAAGAACTGAGACAACAACTGAACTATGAAGTGGGGTAGAACTTGGTCCATTTTTTCCTGTTCACAAATGAACAAGCCACACGGAGTAAACAGTTTGCCGAAGTCTCGTAAACATTTAGAGGATAATTATTTACGACTACCGGAGCACCCCAGGATGCTTCTCCACATAAGGCAACGGTCTTCGTAATCAAATAAAACTGCGGTGAAATGATATAACTGTCGATATGTAACGTTTTGGGTTAAAGACTCATTGTTACCGTCCTATTTCGAGACCATATATGATTGAGAGTGTAACATAGCTGAAGCAGTTTAACACGTGCTGGTGTCCTGATAAATTGGACTTTTAGGCTGTACGAATGAGAGCTGTTTCGGCATTCGAGCTGAGAATTCTGATCCACCTAATTTCGCTTGTTTGTCGCTCCGAGCCGACTTAGCTGGGCGGTAAGATTACTTTGAACTACCCCGCATGCCTTCTTTGCTACCTCGATTAGTATTGCGAGGTTTAGACGCCTATAAATGATTCCTCGCAGTTAGAATAAAGCTATTTCACGCCAGCTCCACGCAACCCTTCAATGCTGACACTTATTCACCGTTTCCGCCTCTTGGTTTGAGTAGCCAATCTTTTCTCAAGCGTCCGTAAGAATATTCCGTGCATTGAAAAATGGGTCACGTGAAAAAATTCTCCACACCTAGGATATACGGGTTTCGCTTAGGTTTGTGAAACGGTTCCACAAACATCAGCTCAAACGAGACGTCGAATAAAAATTAACCGTTGGATTCATCAGGGAGAATGGAAACAATGAGTTTGTTTTACTGGACCCAGTTTGGATGTGTCAATTAGCCGTTGTATAAGTAAATGCTGATTTCGAAAAAAAACTCGTTGGAAGAAGAATCTGGTGTTGATAGGAGACTCAACTAAATCCAACCGAGTCTCTCGTTTATGATGATCCGCTTCAATTGAATGTGCTCTACCAGGCCGTCTCATATTTTAGTTGGTACGATATTCGACGTATTGCATCACATGATGAGCGCCAAGAATGGTATATTGGCCGTGGGCTGTTGAGGAGTTTTACGCAACCTTATGAGTAGTGTGCTACGTCTAACCTCTTCGCCGAGCATGGCAATCAACATGTTAAAATTCAGTCCCAATATGAAGAGGTATGGCCAGTGCATGGTTATGTAGGTATTCCGATCACTTCCGCTTGCTTTCATTTGGCTTCCAAGTAGCATATCAAACCAAAAACGTGTCTGCTTTCACGTTGTTTGATCGTTCCGTTTCAGATTTGTTTTGCGTTGTTCAGTTGGTTGCATTTGGCTGGTTTGTTCACAGTTCAAAACTTGAAGTGCACGACTAAGCACCACATGAGCCAATAAACAAGAAAACAAAGTAGGACAACAAATGGAAATTGCGTGAAACCATAAAAAAATCGAAAAATCGAACCACAACGCAAGAGAAATTTACACAAACCGGCCAAAAATGGGCATTTACATGTTCACACACACAAAAAAAACCTCGACAAGCAGGCGAAATGTCATTCAAGCAAAAGTACAACACAGTTCATAAATGGATGGCACATTTAGCGTGTTTTAAAATACCTGGAGGAAACACTTTCTTTCTTTCTGTCCGTAATGGCTATTACTGCGGGCCCAATGATAGGACGACGTGGCTCTTCAATTTTACCTTTTATTTTGACAAGTTTGAAGGATTCTGGTTCTCCAATACATTAAGTAATCGAAAAAGCTCATCGAAATTGCTTCGATGAGCCAAACGTTCATGAGGAATTACGGATGCATTTCTCAAATAGGCGCAGAGAACAGTGGATTCAGGCAAGTAGAGAATATAATCAATGGGAAGGATGTACCGTGTTTTACATACCTTTCGCACAACAAGGCTATGAAGAAAAATATGTTATTCAGATCCGATGAGAGCAAAGCCTGTTATTTGAGACCATTCAGGCCCATCTACTTGCGGCTTCGTCATACATAAGACGTGGCTCGGTCTTTCTGGAATTGTGCATATCAACGATCCGTTCATTTGGCGTTTTTTTCAGATAAAGGGCGATTTTCTGGTCGTTTTTTATCTTTCTTACAGGGCTGGTTTATGTGTGCTAACCGTACGGTTAGCGTAATTTGGAAGAAACCACACACACATACATACATGAGGTTTTAAACTATTGCATTGTTTCATCACTACAGAAACTGTCAAGGACCACTGCTTTGAGTCTGATTGGGTAACGTGAGTTTTGTAGCCGGCCATCGGACCTAACCAGTCATGACCGGAGCTGAACCCTGCCCATATAATAAAAGTCGGGAAAAATCACTGTATCGCATCGCATTATTCTGTCTTCCGAGTCGTGGAAGTGAAAGAATGCTTTTTTCACACTTGCACTATGTGATTAATGGACACTGACTTCCTCTCCAACGATGGTGGTGGCACACAAAACGTGTTTGAAACGGGTTAACGTTTGCACTCGCTCCAAGTGCGTGAACGAACACTGTGCACGTGCTGGAGCAGTTCGTTTGGATCGTACGGTAATTTATCTAGTTCGTTCTTCAACCCAGACTGGTGGTGTAACTTTTTCAGTCATAAACCTACCAGGCAAATCTTTTCGGAGGAAATAGCAAAAATGTTCCTCTTTGTCACAGATCCGTAATTACACAGATCAGCGAAAACCCCTGGAAAACGGAATCGTGGGGTTGCGGTAAATAAAAGGCACCCCAAACAAATTAGGTAAATTCGGACAGGCATATTACATGGGAGGTCTAAAACAAATCTTTTTTTGCGGGAGCAGTAGTAACTGTAACTTTGTAACTTGACTTCGTGTAGGAGCTTATCGCAATGAAACCAAGGTTGTCCACTGTGCAGGATATCTACTATCTTTGTGGTCTTGTTGAATGGATGGAAACTTTTTTATAGTTTACAAGCATCATTGCACCATTATTAGGTTAGATTCACCGACATAAAATGTCTAATATCTGACCCTGGACTTTTTTTACCCTGTCTTACGTGATTTGCATGACAATGGTACCAACGCGAAATAGGGTCCATGTTTTTTTTCTGTCCAACACACTAGATATGGACTGGAAGAGAATCTGGACGCATAAATTTTGCTGGATTATCATTAGGGATATCGATCGACCAGGAAAGCCATTGTCTGAAACCCTTATTGCTTAGGGTGGCTGAGTCCCTGGCATTTGCACTGCACATGCACCGCTACCACCAAGGTGGGGTTGATTTCCACTACACTGAACTAGTCTGCATGTCAGTCTAGGACGTTATCCATTTGTGAACAGCCCGGCGGCATGTGGTGCTGGGCACGATCCACGAGAGTGTGGGCTGAGCGATCCGGCTACACGCTCTGGCGATCACGCTGTATGGGAGGACTGAAAGTTTCTCTCATATGCAAGAGCGCCTTCGAATGAAAGTGAGGGACAGGAACGGCGTGATTACAGGCAATTGAACAGGAAACCTCATTCTCATGACATTTTAAGAAACTCTGGACATCATTTCACTACTTTATATAAATGAACCAACATAGTCGAAGAGTTCGATCACTTCCCAACCATCCGTTCATTAGAAGCGGAGCGGTACTTTGGACTTGCTTGGACGGTTTATGTTACTGCCCTAGTTACTAAACACCTTGAGGACGAGGGAGCACAGCGACGTGCATCTTATTGGATTTCTCGTTGATTAGCAACTGTGTTTTGCTTGTAGATGTTTTCAATCGTGGGCGGTTATTTGGTGCGCTCAGCGGTACCGCATTGGATGCGTAAGATATTCAATGCAATTGAGTTGAACTTGGTTGTTATTTACGTCTAAATCAAAACTCGAAACGACAGTCCGTTCTTCTCAATTCAGGCGGCCGATAAACGTCTTGATACCTAAACCACATTTGGTCAGAACAACGAAATGTTGTAAGAAGTTGTAAGAAGACGACTAAGGCATAGGAGGAATGTAATTCTGTTCGTCTCCATTTGATTTCTGGACGGAAAACTAGCTTCAACGGGACCCTCTGCAAATAGGGGGACATAGTATTTACGAAACAAAGCCAGAAACGAAATCCACTGTTGACAGCTTGCTTAGAAAATGTTTGTTTTCTCAACTCAGTTGTGGACCATCTACGTAAGCTATTGGCAAACGTTTATGGCTGTTTCTGTCGCATGCATCTTCCCCATGGTTCATATGACAAAACTCTGGGACAGCAGTTGTCGCATGCTCTTCCCCATGGTTCATATGACAAAACTCTGGGACAGCAGTCCAGACTCTGATGGTCGGTTGATGTAAATATGGGGCAGATCCGTCTTCACCGAAGTACGCTTACGGTCATGAGAATGTTGCGATGTTGTCTCACATTCTTACAATCAACCTACTTAATCCTACCAAAGCAAATTTCGTCAACGATCAACTGGGAAGAACTGTGGAGAATATGCCAACGCTGTACCCGAATGATGCATGCTGATCACTGCTCGTTTATTTGTAGTGATTGTACCGTTGACGTTCAATTAAAATGATACGCACTGTATCATGTATGAGAATTATTTTTACTCGCATCCATGTCTGGCTTAAGTTTTAACCTGTATCGGTGAAAGGTCACTTCTTCAACTAAGGTGTAGTGACTGTAGGAACCCTGTTTGCTTGTTGAGATCTTGAGGATCCAAGCTCTGGTGAAAGTGTGCTGAATGGGATTTCCTCCTGTGAGTGAAGCCAAACTACACTGGAAAGCCGAGAAACCCTTTTCAACTGTTTCATCCTTCACCACTGCACATCTCATAGAAACTCATGGAAGTCGTCACCTCCCGGCTTGTAGTTCAGACTATTGGCATCCGCCGACGAGTGGCTGATAGTCAATGTGATTAACAGGCCATAAAACTGGATATAGTATTACTCATCCTTCAATCACGTGGTGACGTAGTGACTGGCTTCTTAAACCGAATTCTGAGATGAGGTTTCACTCATCATGTGAAACTATTCTTCCTCCGTGCTACTTACAGAGTTGGCAGTGCGAAAAGATTCGGCACGTTTCAATCCTGTCAATGAAACCAATGTATACTGAAAAGCTTTCTATCTTTCCATAGTCAGCTGGCAACTTCCAAAGTGCATACCACACCTGTTAGCAAGATATCGTAATAAAACGATCGTTTGTTTACGCCTTGGGTGCTCCTACGTGTCCAGACTGTTGCTGCGAGATTCGCCTTTATCAAAATTGTTAAAAATACTCCAAGGTTCATAAACCACACTTATTCTAAACAAAGAATGATGTCACAGAAATCGGCCCACGGACGTTTGGTACTTTGAATTCACGTCACTTGCGGGAGTTAAATGTTTATTTTAAACATTCTGATGAATTTGGTTCTGGATGTCAGCCTCATGAAGCGCTAACCTAACGAGTATTTAAAGCCTCCCCGGTCTTCTTATAGAGTGCAGTGCGAGAAAAGTCAAGTAAAAATGAAGTAAGATGCCGCACTTTATTCCAAACTTTAAATCCAGACCTGTCTGTAATTTGAACCCATTAAAAACGGTTGATTTGAGAAACATTTGCAGCAAAACAACGCAGCAGATAGTGACGTGTTTAATAATGGTCCACTTGGTTCGTGGACTAAATTTTAGTCCTGATTGGTCCTTAATCTTCCGTCACGAGTAGCTCCACTAAGGTAATCCATGCAGGCTGTTCGTTAACCGTACAAAGCACAAAGCGGTTGTGATAACAAAGCCATTCGGTACTATGAAGTGTCCCAATGAAGTGTCATCACCGTGAAAAGTACAAACAGTCTTTGCACTCCTGATTCATCCTTAGTGGACAAATAGTAGACACTTGGTGGGCAACTACTTCCTCCTGACTGAACTGCTTTTGGTTGGCTGGCTGGCACAGTACTGTTGTCAGACATACCGATTTAACAGAAATACAATATTTTCTGGTATGACATTGCCACGCAACTTCGACTCGCACCAACACCACCGGGTCGGGATAGTACTTATTTTGAACAATTCTCTATCTCCTCTCTTATGTACGTGTATGCAGAAACGTGATTTGTTACGAACGTTCTCTATCGATCCCGCAACACTGGTACGCTATCTTCTCAAAATTGAAGCAAACTATCATCCGGATGTGCCTTATCACAACGCATTGCATGCCGCGGACGTGACCCAGACATCACATTTCCTCCTGCAAGCAGAGCCCTTGGAAGTGAGTATCCGGGTTTGTGTGAACAGACTGCTTACTTCTAGTGAGCACTGTTTTTCTACTAGCACTCAGTTCGAACCCCATTTAAATGGCGATCTGTATAGCCATTCACACAGATCAATAAAGCCTGACGAATAACAAAGTACTCCAGAAAAATAATTGACGGAAGTCAGGGGAAGAGTCTGTGCTCATATGCAAACGGAAAATAAGCTTGGCCCACGAACGATGAGAGATAAGCGTTTTCGATAAATGAGGACTGTGAGGACAAAATATCTCCGTGGTTCCCAAAGCACATAGTTAAAACGCAGAGTGATCCAAAGGGCCTAAGTCTCGGATGTGAAAACCACCTTGTTGATATCATTCACAATGTCTTATCCTACCGTACTCAGTAACTTTGGTGCACCTTTCTGCAGGGTGTTTTTACGCAAAGGTTTCTACAGTATACACGTTATGTTCTAAATTCCGAGGTTAAAGCACTGTACATCAGCCGTGTATATATCATTTTCCAAGATCCGACCTTGCTTGTTGTTAGCTGGTGTCTGTATCATCCTGTGCGTAATTCAATAGTGAGATGTTTTGCTTTTATCCGGATTAAAAAACTCATGGCACCACTTTTCAAATCCTATGGAAATGTTTTTCTACCAATCCAGATGTGAAAAATAGCTGTTCCATCGGTATGACGCAGTGAATGAGGAATGAAGCCCATTAGACTGGATGGAATCACCTGAACTCTGGTTGGATGTACATGTGTCTTACAAGCAGATCTACTGAATTCACTGTGTGCACTGAGTAAATGAACATGGATCTCGTGGACTCACCCCTGCCTAAGGCATCAACACTTGATAATGGTTTTAGTAAATTGGCTCCTTCATGCCATTCACAAAGGAACAGACGCCGATATGCCCTCTTTACTCAGTTTAATCCAAAAGCGTCGGCCCTTCCTCTTGCATTGTGATTAATTCCCTATAATTTAAGATTATCTACTCCGCGATAGTTCTGCCTCAATAATGCTTCAGATTCAATCGTCAGACAAGTGTGCAGTGTATCGAAATACCAGTACCAGGGTTCGTTAACTGACTGTTGGCCAGGTGGCGCTTGATTCGTTCGCCGAGAGTGACAACTGGATTGGGAAACATCAGTGAAAGCACATTTATGATGTCCCCTCGATCGGTGGAACTAACTCGTCAGGCTGGGTAAACAAATTGATATTTATCTGATCAATAAACCGTTGTGCGGACAACTCTTTCTTTGGGATATCTACACCAAGATCTGTGAAAATGAAATCGAAGAGAATATGCTGTGTGGAACATTTAGTTTCGTTAGATTACGAGGGAATGACACAAGACGACCATAAAGTGGTTTATCATTGGACTGTACGGCCACAGCTGATGACCTCCGTTAGAGATGGAATAAACAGAATCTGACATAACCAGAAGAAAAGCCAAACTGACAGCTACCGTCACAATCATCATCATCATCATCATCATCATCATCATCATCATCATCATCATCATCATCATCATCATCATCAGCTGTAAGAACCGCGTACTTGTCGTACAGTGGTTGTAACTTCCACAGTTTCGTTCACCAATGATTCGGGGGAGGAGGGTAGGTAGCTACGCATTGTAGGCCGAGCTGATATATTAGTGCGTACGTACAGCACCGTAGGTGGACTTTTAAGTGGGAGGGTTGGAAAAGGAGCTATGCATTGAAGGTAACAGCTTGGATGCACGAGCGCCACTGAGGGTGCGACTGGGCCTTGTCTGATAATGTCTCTAGCTATTGACGTGGCGCGTCTCGAGGTCCCCACTCAGGAAGACTGCTGGTAATGGCTCCTATACTTTGCTGTCAAGACACAGTGATGTCGCTTGATTAGCCTGAGGGATAAAAACACGTTTGCGGTCCGAGATTGGATCCAAAACATCACGCTTCCTGTTGGTCTGATTATTGATAAGACCAGGCAAGACAACTGATATGGACAAACCGTTGTTTCGTTTGAAGCGTGCGGTTTGGGTTTGAAACCCCAGAGATTCCGCATGGCATTGTTGTGTCGAAAGCCCTGTTTGAATTAGTTGAGCATAGTCAAGGAAGAATGTGAATTCCGCTAGAGCTTACACTGAATTGGTGTCGGGAGTCGAATTTTGCCCACTATCTATTCAATTCAAATTTAGGCAGATCTCATACAAACAAACAAGCGAAATATCCATGGGCCCCCAAATTTGACTAAATGACACACATTTTTTCTTGAAAACCTAAGGAGAAGAGTGACAGCAACCTTTGCGACCCGCCGCGCGTTTAGAGGCCCTAGATCGATGGTACATTCGTGGTCATGCAGCGTGAGCTTTCTAGTGATTCCTCACCTCCCCACGGATTGGGTGTGTAGTAGTTGTTCGACTGACTGAAATGCTGCTTGTGGACAAAGCCCAGTAGGCAACTGAGAGTTCACATAGCCGAACACGACAGACGCTCGAATTCCGCCTTGAAATAACTCTTACTAGCGAAAAATGGAAAGAGATTCATCCATTTTCATAAAGGAAACTACTCACAAGGTTGCTGAAAACTCTTCGACAGTGCACGACCGGTTTCGCCCTTCTTGGGGCTCATCGGTAGGCGCAGTCCCCGAGTTTCCGTCAACTGAATGCTTCAAACAAAACGACGGTTTGTCCATGTCAGTTGTCTGATGTAGTCTAATCAATACTCAAATCAACCGGACGCGTGATGTTTTGACTTCAATCTCAGACCGCAAACGTGGGCGTATCCCTTAGACCAATCAGATAACGTCCTTGTGGCAGTAGCTGTCAGTCTGGTTTGCTTTTTCCGGTTATGTGCGATTCTGTTTATTCCAACCCTGAAAGAGGTCGTCCACCGTGACAGTAACTTCCAGTAAGAAACCTCGGCATATTGATTTCATTGTGTTTCATCACGATCCAACCAGGTGATTCATGTGGGTTGCTTTAAATCTCATGATGTTTTCGAAGATTGTTTCAATATTCGTCACTGATTGTGTCAAACGACGAGTGACAGATATCATCGTACGCAGGAATGTCGATTTCCGCACCGATTAGTTACCTCGTTTGAGTCTTCATTATGAATTCAAAGTCAGAAGAGATCGTACAGCTGGTTGATTCTCGTGGGGAATCATCAGTGGAATCCATGACACCCCACACGATGTTTTCAAACCGTACCTCGATGCTGCAGTTCGATGAAAATTCCCAACTCACAACCCCCCCCCCCTTAACCCATGCATAGTATGACTGCAATCGTTGTACTACACAGTTTTGCGGAATTCCTGAATTCCGAAGGTCTGCACTTAATCCACGTAATCAGATTGCTTTCCATAAGTCTCTCGCAACACTGATCAGACGGCAGCGCCTACGCCTTATCACTTCAAAGCCCTATAAGGATAACCGACTTGTAATATGTGTCTTCAATGTATGAGGTGCCCCTGCATTTAAGAAAGCCGATTAGCTCGTGTTGCAAAGAACAGCTGATTGGGTGCAGATTTAACTACGACCCAAAATAATTAAAAAACAGGGGCGATTTCAGGTCATATTGGCTATTCCGGAACCAAGCCTCATGTGCTGTGTGCATAAATGAAAGTGTAAGTGAAACTGAAAGTGCATAAATGTAAGTAGAACATAAGGTTGACGGAAACCCGGGGACTGCGCCTACCTGATGAGCCCCAAGAAGGGCGAAACCGGTCGTGGGCTGTCGATGGCTTTTCAGCAACCTTATGAGTAGTACATTACGAATGTAAATACTCTTTTGTCAATATCGGCCTTACCGAAGGATGAGGTAATTTGATTCGGGACAGAATTAGTACAGTCACGTGGTCTTTAGTCGCGCGGAAAAGTAATTACATTGAGTCTCCGTGGGTGACTCTCGACATCCTGCTGTTTCTCAAGGCCAGCACATTTTGTTGAGTTTGATAAGACTCGAATGATCCGAAGAACAGCAATAAATGTGACTCGGACGATTAGACGACGTCAAATCCCTAGAGTAGAAAGTACCATGTCAGAATCTGTTTCGGTTTTTGCAGGAACACCCACACGTTTCCCCCATTTCGGTATAGCTGTCATTTTCAGTTGAACACTCAAGCGTCTTACAGAATTCAGCTCTTCAGTAAGGCAATGGAACTTATGCATTTTCCTAGCCAGTGGCTGTCCGTTTGCCACTTAAATGGTTATTTAACTAATCTATGCTTCCTTCCACGTTCCTCTCTTCATAGGACGTTTTCAGTGATTTGGAAATACTGGCTGTGATTTTCGCGTCTATTGTACATGATGTTGATCATCCTGGACTAACCAATCAATTCCTGATTAACTCTGGTGAGTCGCGTTACTAGGTTGTTCTACGTTTTGATTGTGCTATATCCTCTCTGGTTAGGCGAAACTGTCCATGTAGCCAACGTTATCCGAGTTTGTGTGTGCTATCCAAAAAAGTGGCCTAGGTGGTATGTGCCGCGGCGAGTTCGTTCTGCTTCAAAATTACCCGTGTCCCTCAAGTGGTTTGACCTTGGGCGAGATGGCCCAAGTGGTTAGAGCGCGAATTTACTAAGCGGAAGGTCCGTGGTTCGAACCCGACATCTGCCTCTCGACTTCCACTGTCTAGGCTTGGGCAACCTGGCAGTATCCCAACCTTCGTGCAACATTCGGGTGGCATGGCCGTTAGGCACCTAAAGGGTGCTACAGCTGAACGACTGGGAGACTGGCATCAGTGCTGTCTAACTAGCTAACTATCACAATCCCACCATAATTTATGACCACATGAGGTGTAACAGGTCGGCATGAGGCTAACTCTTGCGGCTTATCATTGTGAAATACTGCAACCCGCTTACAAGTGGTTTCATAAATGAAATTTCGAATACATTCTGGGGACCTGTACTCATCATGTCCACACATGAAGTAACTTGTGGAATTCGCGAAACACTCAGTTGCAAATTGCACTGGATTTAAATGGGCACTCAACCACTCCTCAAACCAAGCTCACGCGTGTGTTCAACTGAATGTGCTGCACAAAGACCGCTTTGTGTGTTCAACTGAACGTGCTGCACAAAGACCGCCTCATGTTTCAGTCAGTACAGTATCCGAGATACGGTAGTGAATTTCTGGGAGGAATACCTCTCACATGGTTGGTCAAAGCCCCCCGACAGCTACCCTATGCGACTAATCAGGTGGGTGAAGCCTCCGAGTTTCTTTCTGTTTGAGTTGGCACATTTGAAAACTTGGTATCGGGTGCTGTCATACGACTGATTTTGTGGGAGAAAGAGGTGACCGGTCGTTTGCCAGCCGACTGTCAAAAAACCGCGCACGCACCAATCATGTACGACGATGTACGGGTTGACCGGTTAGACAACACACCCAAGTACGGGCTGATCGATAGGAGAGGGCGGACTTACCGAAAACAAATTAACCGAGGTGTTGCATGTCTCACTTCAGTAGCTTGTAGAATTTGAAAAACTCTTTTGGATCCTTGTGTGATTTGCCTGACTTTTTTTACATTGTTTGACGAATGCAATTGTCCTCTGGAAAGAAAGCTCTATAGTTTGAAAATCTTAGAACGTCCGAGTAAGCACACTTTCTGAGTGTAACAGAAAGAGGAAAAACTGTTATACTTTGTTTCCAATCGTACGATTGAAGATGGGGTTTCTTCACAGCCTGAGTGCATATGGCCCCCTTCAAGTGTCGTGATACATAGTTTACTACCATGTAGTAAGCTGAGAGGCCTCGCTTGCTGGAGTGGAGAACATTTCAGAGCTACCCAGATAGCAATTAACTAACGTATGTATGATAAATGATTAAGTAGGAAGCGGGTTTCTCAGGGAGCATTTGCTTGTCTTAGCAGTCTTATAGAATTTGCCTTGCCGTAGGAGTTTTGCTCTGATATAGACTCTACCCTTAGCGAACTGCAATGGCCCTTCCGATAGGCACTATATTTGACCCGTTTTTACCCTTCCTAACCTCATTCGTTCTCAGCCAGTGTTTATCGTTTGACACGTCTCCAGAGTAGTTATAGTCAGGGCTGAGGACTACTTCAACAGCTAAAGATTGGAGTTGTTACAGCCTCCCTGAAGTCAACCAGGTCTGACGTTTCTTGGCATCGTGTGTTATGCAAACTTTTCACCACGTGTCATTGCTGGGGAGATTGATCACCGGGTAACTTTAAGTGTAATGTGTTCCGTTTGGAAAAGGGGCTTCAAAGAAAGCGTGTGATCCAGTAATTTGATTATGCTTTTCTTAAAATGCAGTGCTAGTTTCGTGCGCTTTGCATCCGAATAAACTGGAATTTACTTGTTTGTTCCATAGCAGTTGAAAGGTATTAACGGATTTATCGCTATGGCCACCAATGTGCTCACTGCATATGTCCAAAAACATCAACCATATCTTGTACAGATAAACAAGACCATTCACGTCGTCTGGTGGAACATACTACTCATAATGTTGCTGAATACTTTAACTGCTTACCATTGACTGCGGCCCTCTTGGGGCCTATCATTTAGGTTCAGCCCCCAATATCCTGTCGGCCTTGTGTCTAACATGACGCCTTTCACAAAATGCGCTCTTTTTGCACACTAATTTGGTTTTAACAAAAGGCCAAACTGAATTCCAGCTGAATCTCTTTTTCCTTGATATGCTGCACCAAGGCCACCTCAAGTTTCAGTTGGTGCAATATTTAAGATATTACAGTACATTGTTTAGGTGGAACGCACCACTCATGCATTTGGTGAAAACTTTTCGATAGCCCACCAACGATATATGCTATCTTGGGGCTCAGTAGGTAGGCCTGGTCTCCGAATTTCCATCGGTCTTCTGGATCACTCGACATCTTTAACACTGTTGAAAGATTTGATTTCAATTACCATCGATTCACCTAGTTCGAAGCATAGGAATATTATATTCTACTTCTGTCTTTACTAATCGGAACACAATATTTACTGGTGCATTACGACAATCAGTCAATTGCTTTTTTACATCGCGATTGATTGGACCGGAAAAACCAGCTGGCTAGTCAGACTAACACGTACAGCAAATTCGACAAAATCATTAGCGTAGACAGAACCTTTCGCATGGTTCACGTTGCCATGAGGATTGGTCGACACCAATGCCACAAACCCGTAAATTTGAAGTTTTTCCTCACGTCTCTTTTTCCGTCCGTCACGTGATGATGCGCGGTACAGTAGATAAAGATCATTGTTCCAAAACTAAACTGTTCCGGTATTGTTTTTGGGTATGGAGAAACGGAGTGCACCTACTGCTAGCATGTAACTGGTTGTCATATCCACTGGGTTTTTAGGTGTCTGGTAGCCGTGGGTTCCCCACAACCCAACAACTGTGCAGTTGTGCGTGTTTCTGATTTTACAGTCGTAAAGAAGTGTTGGGGACATCTTAAGTGTCGCACTGTGTGAAAGGTGGATATGGTGCGTGCAGTAATATCCATAGAGGAGCAACGTGTTCCCTGTTCTGCATTGGTCCTCTTTAAACCGTTACCCAGGCTGTATAGCGAATATGCCTTCTGATACAACTTCATTATCGTTATTTCACCTCTGCCCACGGGGCAACGATTCAGAAAAAAATGGAGAGACTTTCATCTGCGGAACCCAGTGACCTCACTTCACGTTTCCAACTGGCGAACTGCCAATAACTGCACTTATTTGCATTTCTTACCATCACTGTACTTTTTATTTTGCCAGGTTATTTCTTGTTTGCCCTATACTGTCATTTTGTGCGCAAATATTGCCTGAAAACTCGTTTCCTCCGAATTATAAGTCTCTAACGTTAACATGACCACTAGAAGTATGTCCTGGTAAATAGCTTTCTTAGTTGAACAAACTAACATCTTCGAAGCCGTACTCTTTGGGAACACCTTATCCTTCTCAAGAGTAGGAACAAACAAGACCATTCGATCTTTTTCTTTATTCCGTTCGCTTCTTATGGAAGGTGCACTGTGTGGGAGAACTAAGGTTGGTGATTTTGAGTTATCCGTAGACTAAGTGCACCGGATTTTCGACCAAGTAGCGGAAAATGGCCTGTGTCAGCATCACCGCCTTTACAGTCTAAATATATGCCAAGAAAACAAGCGATTGCTAGGCAGCTGTTTGAAGCTTGGCTGTTCTACTGACACTCCAGGAAGGCGTGAAAAGTTGGTTTAGGCCTTATTTGTGTCCCAATTTTCCAGGTCATGATCTGGCACTACAGTACAACGATTCCTCTGTTTTGGAAAATCATCATCTCTACGTCGCTTTCAAACTGCTCAATCAACCGGATTGTGACATATTCTCCTCCCTCGGTGTGAAGAAACGTCAGACGCTGCGCAGGATGGTCATCGAACTTGTGAGTGTCCCTCATGCTCTTTAAATATGTATTGTGCATTCATGTTTGCAAATGTTAAGCAAACAATCGTCGAGACCTATAGAGCAAAACATCTTGTCACTAAACACTAGTTGTCCATAGGATTAGGAAGTGAACCATTAAGCGACTGTCATTCATCGATCGATGAGGTGAAGTTAAATTTCATTATCCCCAAATAGCCGTCGTAAGTTGTCAACACAGGCCCACGCCAAACGTATGTAGGAGCAGTCCGTTGGAAAAATTGGGCAGAAAAAAACAGTGTAGACACTCACAATGGTACCCAAAAGCAACATTTCTCTGAAAGCTAGTTACCCTCTGGTAAACTTCACTCAGACCTAGTTTAGGGAGTAAAGTTGAAGTCGTCACAGGCCCGTTAGAGCTAGTTTTCTTCATCAAGAAAAAATTTATCGAGTCGGTTCACATATGTACACATCAGTTACACTGGAACTGGATCATTGCTTTAAATCTGCCAAAGATGTTCAAGATACTCTGCAACCGGCCAGAAGCCCGGAGAGTGTTGTTGATGAGTTGGGTGGATTTAAAGCTGCTGGTATTTGGTTGTGGTGCATCTGTGTGGCGAGCACAGACTGTTCGTCTGGAGCACTGACTCTAGCAACAGCGAGAACTGTTTGGCCGCATTGTGCCACCAACGATGCGGCGCTGGAAACTGATAGGCGATTCTGCCATCAGTCGCCAAGATCAGTCACTGGCTATCAGTTTTTGTGGAATACTCGCGCGGAATCCATCCATGTACAGCGTTTTTGTCATTGAGAAACCCATGAATTTCAAAATTAAATGTGTGTCAGAACCATCTTCTTCGAGGATCTCAACCGGGTTTCGAGATCACCCAATTCCGGAGCTTCTATCTACAGAACAGACTCAGCTTCATAGAAAGTGGATAATGAAACCATAAATCTCGCATCTTCATCCGTCCGTTATGCTCCTTGGCTGGAACGATCGTTCAACTCAGGGTCAGCTACTGGGTCACCATATGATGCATTTTGCAGACAATGATTAAAGTGCAGGGGTGGATACTTTCGTCTATTCGGATCATAGCTTGGTAGAGCCATAGCAACGTGCTCACATCGATTGTCAGATATTCCTGATTCAACTCACAGTATCCCTGATAATGCGCTGATTTTGTCCAACAAGAGCGAAATTCTAGTTCTGGAAAAGACTGCATAAACAAGACCTGTATGAATACGAAACTCGCAGACTACCTACGACCAATAAAAAATTCCCACGAACCTCAAGCTTCCGTGACCCTACGTGACTGGGAGGCTTCGAGAATCTGGTCCGTCAGTTGACACAAATGGGTAGGTCAATGGATCAAGGTTCAACTGCTGGCTGCGATCGCACAAACTACCCACGGGCGGATCAACTATGCGAGGGTTGTATCTGCAGCAAAATAAATATAGTGATTGATCAGAAAAGACAACCCACAACATCAGTCGTTTGCTGAATTGAGCTTCTCCTCGCGGTGCTGAATATACAAGTGTTTTCTCACTTTTGGTAGATTTTTCTAGCTTATTCACTTTTCAGATGTCCCTTCTAACATGTAACTACCTTCACATCAATTCGGAAATCCCTTGTTCAAGCAGACTGACCGATCTAGTTTCAGTTGTTCCGTCATCGGTAGCGGGAAAGATTTCGGTGTTATTGCACAGAGACTGTGCGCTGAGAAGCGGTATGTTTGTGGTTATGCATGCACTGCTGGCGATGCTTGCTTTTAGCCCCTGATGGTTTAGGAGTAGGTGGCTCATTGACCTGTACCACTTTCGAGAGGATGTCCTCCGATGGCGACTTACTGCTTGGCATCTGGAGGAACTCTGTTCCTAATTCTTTCGGATTCGACATTGTGTGGTTCGCGGGCGCCCTGTGGGTGGAGGTTCCACTCTTTCAGTCTATAGGTATGATTTCCATTTACAATTCTCTCTACATGGTCTGACGCACTTATTTCACGCACCAAATTCTTCGTTACTTCGGCCAGTTCCTAATCGCACGACGAAGCCACGTCCTTTCTATAGTGGGCTGGAGTTGACCATGGATTTTGTCCCAACTAGTTGGTATTTTCTTGCGTACTGATCTTGCTCACATCACACCGCATATTTTAGGTCTTGGCTACCGACATGTCTAAACACATGAGTCTTTTGGCGGACCTGCGCACCATGGTTGAGGCTAAGAAGGTATCCGGATCAGGCGTTCTCAATCTGGACAACTATTCTGACCGAATTCAAGTAAGTAAAGTTTGCTTACTCACTTCGAACTTTCCAACCATCAGCCTTGAGCAACACATATTTTCAATCTGTAACTCGATAATCCCATCAAAATGATGACACCACCTCTTTCCGCAATATTACCACTTTGCTGTCGAGTGTCTTTAGGTTGAGCAGCCTGTGAACTTGAAGCTGAGACCGAATACCCATCTATACGCCTGTGTAATTAAACAGGATTATGCAGCAGGTTTCAGGTGTCCCATAACTGTTGCTGAATCATCGTCTGAATTGTTGCATAAACCAATCACATCGCTTGGAATGAGAAACTGTTAAACCTTTAAGGTTCATGCATCATGCATTCCCATATCTGACGTCCGGACTTCGAATTTCGGGTCATTATTTACATAGTTAACCCTTCACCTCTAGCGTAACTGCCACTATCTAATCTAGGTGCCTTGGTTCCATACAACGCATGTGTCAGCGCTTCTGTTGATCAAACAGATGGGGTATCAGCTTAGATTACCATGCTGAGACCTTATTGATTTGAATGGGTAAAGCCGTGTGTGTGTGCCTCAGTGGTATGTGCAGTCAACAACCGGGCTACTAATGTGAGTTTACAACGTTACTTGAGTAAGGATGCATAGCGTAAGTAACCAACTGCCACCCACACAATTCGAAACCATCATCGACAAATATGGCCTTCCTGTTGCATCCGGCTCACGTTCACTTGAGCACACAAGGCCGTCGTTGGCAGATTTTGTTCTGACGGATTAATTGCATTTTCCTACGGAAATAAGGCTCCACTGTTAAGGATTATGGTAGCTCAAGAGGATTTGTTGCTTTGACAGGATGACGGACACTGAAACATATCCGCACTGCTTCAAAGCTCAGAAGTGGCGTCTGAATGCGCAGTCTTTGAATTTTAGTTCTAAAACTACATGCACAGGTCTTTTTTATGCCCCAGATTTATACTATACCTAGTATAGCTTCGCAGAAAATCAGCCATCTGGTGGATGAGCACATTAGTAAACAAGGAAGCAACTTGCAAAACCCAACACAATATTGTCCAACCTGTCTTTTGATTCGCCATAATCGGTAAAATAATGCGCGATAAACTTTGTCATTCCGGATTCGAAGGTCCCAATGAATGTGTTCGCCCAACTAACACATTTTAAGCAAACACTACGCTTGAAAACTTTGAATTCACTGCGACTGATTGGAATCATGGTTCCAATGGGCTTCACGTATTGGTATCCCGCCTTTGTGACAAAATCATGCAGCTTTGTTACACCAGTGTGGATTGCGGGGGAGGAGAGTGGAAGAAAGGAAATCATTCTGCAACCGTGCCGAGTAGAGAGACCGGCCAAATTTGCATTAGACTCTTTCTAAGGTTAGGATTTCAGGACCTCCATCAGGTTGCCTGAAAGTGTTTACTTCATTTCCGGAACAAAGCCAGGGCAAAGTTTAAATGCATCTTCAGTTCATTAAATATTATTGCTTAATGAGTGCACCTTTTCTTTCCTAGATTGTAACAGGCTACCTGCCCATCGTTCTGAATAGTGGGATTGCTTTAAGTAGTTAGAGAAAGTATTACTACAAATCCTAATCAGTTAGGCCTACTCACATCGGTTTCCAGTCATTTTTACCGCAACCAACTGCTCAAAAGCACCAAGGATGAAATTAGCGAAATACACTAATTTGCAAGAAAATTTAGTTTCGCGGGAGACCCACCCGGAAACCAGCTGAATCCCTCGGTTTTCATGTTTCCAGGCAACTGGGCTGTCGAGGAGTTTTCAGCAACCTTATGAGTAGTGCCTTATCAAGGATGAACTTTATCACTTGATCAGCGAAGTGCACACACAATTGAGTATGTACTTCTGCAACCGGATCATCAACGTCCTGCAGTCAGTTCAGTCCAAAACGGGTAATGTCAGCAGCTGGAAGTATTTTATTCAGAAGGGGTTAATGACTGAAATAATGAGACAGAAAACGATGCCACCCACAGCCACAATTTAAGGGAGAAAACAGGACTACGAAATGCCATTGAAGCGCAACAAGAATAGTGTTTACTGGCTTTGACGGATCATGTTGAAAACCTCGATTGTTCGCCTTGAAAACAATGAGTCATCTGCTTTTCCCTGGCAGTCAAGTACTCCGATCTTCTGACACAAATGTGCCCACTATCGCACGTCCATTTGACCTTTTTAATTAAGTAACGCGTTCATTACTTGTTTTGTTGAACGATTCCGTCGAAACCAAAATGGTGTACAAAAGTTCACCCATTCTGAAGGAACGAAACAATGCATTCTTGAGGCAATGAATGTTTTTCTTCTTCAGATCCTTACTTGTTTTAACGATTCCGTCGAAACCAAAATGGTGTACAAAAGTTCACCCATTCTGAAGGAACGAAACAATGCATTCTTGCGGCAATGAATGTTTTTCTTCTTCAGATCCTGCAAAATATGATCCACTGTGCCGATCTGAGCAATCCGGCTAAACCGCTCCGACTCAATCGCAAATGGACAAGCCGGTTGATGGAAGAATTCTTCCGTCAGGGAGACAAGGAACGGTCCCTGAATCTGGAAATCAGTCCAATGTGCGATCGAGAATCTGTGGCGGTCGAAAAGTCTCAGGTCAGTATGCTCACCCACCAATTTCTTGTCGCACCACCAAAATGAACTTTAGATCACGCTGACGCTATAAACCACGAAATTGTGGAAATCCGCAGGGAGGACTTGAAAAGCCCTTAAGGGCTGTTTTACACAGGGTTAGGCTTGCTAGGATGGGATATGTGTAGATTCCAGTGAAGGCCACTTTCGAAAGTGCCGGAACCTTCCGATTAAGTGATCATGATACTAATGACTGTTTCCAACAGTTAGTGTAACATCACAGCTTGCAGGTTGTGAGTAACACTTTTTTGACAAAGAAAATTAAGCGGAGAAGTTATCGGTCTTTCCATCCATAAGTACCAACAATCTAGACGTGAAACGGAAATAACTCTCAGGCTTTTAGAGGATAGCCAAAGTATAAGTGCTACGGATTCTTCAGCAGCCATGTGTAGCTCAAACTCAGAACAAACTCAGAATAACAGTGCTCCATGTTCTACATAAGAGCGAAATCATAGTTGCCTGCACAGAGCGCCCCCGACTGCTGTATGTTTCACTGACATTACGGATAGAGTTCTAGTATCGCATTTTCTGTTTCTCACTTCTCAGGTGACATTCATCGACTTTGTCGCACACCCGTTGTTGGAGTCCTGGTGCGATCTTGTGCATCCATCATCGCAGCTCATCTTAGACATACTTGCCGACAATCGGGACTGGTACGACTGTCAATCCGAGGGTTCCAGAACGTCCGGTGTAAGTCGGGGACGCACGCGATTGGCGACTGCTGAGGAAGACGACGAAGAGGCAACATCAGCCTCCTGAGTACTGGAAACTAAACGATATCAACACGTGAACACCCGGCTTCTGTCCGTTGTATCCTCTTCCATGGTTCTGAGATTTTTTGTGAAAAAAAACAGAGCTTCGTGGCCCAATCCGGTCCTACGGCTGTTCTATGCCCCCCTCTTGCACACCTTTACTCAAGACCCTCTCCCACCATCCAAATGGCAATTGATCTTTTTCATAAACAGAGTTCTCCCGAAAAAAAGAACTGACTATTTTCTCGACCGTGCAGATGTTTTCCACCCATCAGTGTATTGTTATTGACTCGCTTCCCATCCCACAGGAAATTTCTCAAAGCTACGCTCCAAAACAGAGTACTTAGGTTAACATTGATCGTGAACGGGTAAATATTACTTCCCAAAATCTAATTTACGATTGTTTTACACCCGAGGTACAATCAGCACATGTGCGAGTGAGTTAAGCCATTCGCAACGAGATCAGTCAACACAATCTCTTGCAAACTAACTGGGTATTGATGTACAATATTTGCACTTCCGTTAAGGCACGCGAAGTATAAGCTATGCATTTCTTTGTCGAAATTGAAAAATTACAAATGTACTTGTTTCTCTCTCTCTCTCTGTGTAACCCCAATCACTTTCGAGGCACACGCGCACAGTGATTGTTCGCAGTGTGAACCCTCCAACCCACCTGTGCTAATCATGGACGATCCGTTTCACGAAGATGTCATATACTTTTCTCTTAATCAATCAGCCAGTGTTCTGGGTCGACGCAATGATCAACTATATATTGAAAGAATTATTAACTTCTCCGAGTTGTTTGTTTATCTATCTTATTGTATGAAAATCGAATGGTGTGGCAAGTAAACAGCGATTACCAACGCACATACACAGAAAGATACGAAATAAACATGGCGTTTTTTGCTTCTCATTGGCTTAATTTTGTTTTTCTGTTGTCAGTCGCATAACAAGTGGCTAGGAAACGGTCAGTCGATTCATGACTGAAGAGAGCCTACAATTCGTAAGTCACGCTGGTTGGGACATGCAATTCGCATGCCAAAAGACTGTCTAACACAGCTGTTTTCGCCCAGCCCTGTGCTGAGTAAAAGCGACCGAGAGGTGAACAATGTATGAGGCAATGAAAACACTAAACAGCAATCTTAGTCGGATCGGCGGCTGTCACCTTTCAGGGTGGGAACCCGAGACTCAAATCACCAATCGATAATGGCGCTGGCATAAATGGCAGTCAGTGGTGCTCCTGCATCAGAGCTATCACCTTCAGTGCGTAGGTACCTGAATCCCGAACTAAGTGAACACGCCACCATCTCCAAGGCTTGTCGGTGATCTAAACTGTAGCAGCTGGAACCAATGTGCCTTTGATGCACAGTTTATAGCTGATAAACTGCTTGATTAAAAAAAAACATTCAGTTGCAGCGTCCTTTCGGCGCCAAACTCCCATGCACCAGGAGGTATGAGGGCTGGGATATCGCCTGGTTGCCCAACCCTAAAAGCGGGAAGCCGAGGTCAATTTCGAACCACGAACCTTCCGGTCAGTAAACTCCCACTCTCATCACTGAGCCATCTCGTTCCTGATTGATCGAATTGAACATAAGATTGCATACTTCATGCAAAGAAACTGTGTCGTTCAGGATGTCTAGAATGGTAGGTCCATCAAATCGTGATCGGAACCTATGTTAGGACACCACCACAAGCAGAACTTGATTCCGGGTCTGAGGCATATCTGGGTCCACCGTGCCCAGTGAGTGATACACAAGGGAAACCGTTTTGGGGGCATTTAGCTCAGCGCCGCATTAGTTTTGAGCAGTCTGCTCTGAAAGAGACTAGGAGCTTGACGGGTGAACTTAATTAAAGTATACGGTGGAGTACTCTTATGGAACACCTCTTCATAAATAACATGTCCTCTAGTACATATCGTTCTAGAAAGTAAGCAGGATATTAAGGTATATGATGCACTCCTGACGTGAGTAGTCCATGAATCGGACAGGCTGAAATTTCTCACATATTCAAAGTTGAATATTGTAAGACCGATTGGGAAGTAGGGGATGAAATACGAGTGGGCAGAATATGTTTCTGTTCTTAAAACCTTGCCAGAATAGACCTGACATTCAGCCAAACCTAAAGTGTATACACGGTTCAATATGCGAAGTATCTTGCCTCTCCCTCCACGAGTTTTTTTCTCTTCTTTTCACTCTAAGCTTTCAAATTACGATTAGATGAAATTTATGGTTGTGTCAAGACTGATACTGCTGTCTCCGGGGATGACGATCACGATCTCTGATACCGCTTGGGTTTTGCAACACGAATCATTGTTGTTCAAAACGGAACAGCCCTCGACGCGTACAAGAGCACAACTACATCTCTTAAGTACCACATGCTCCAAAACACAAAGTCGGAGAACTAGTCATCTTCAAAGTCCTGTGATTCACAGTTTGATCAGAAAGGCTGAGCAGTAGAAAAACCAAGTCGAGCATCAGATCAACGGAGAGTAAACAGACAGAAAAAACGAAGTAAGAATTGGCTCCGATTCGAACCTGGAGTTGCTGTCCCTGACAGTGAAAAGAAGAAGATGAGCGAAACGAATTCGGGACCGGGAACAATGGCATAGGAGCGAAAAGATGTCTATATAAAATGACCGTAAAAAAAGAGTAAAAACATCAGTTGAGCTCAATCACAATTTGAATAGCCTGAAAATAGGAGTGGATAAAAGCTCGCTGGGTCGATTAAAAATCGGAAGCAGGGTCAACTCAACCATATTATATACAACTGATTGTGGGAGACTGTGTTGACTTCGTTGGTGAACTGATAATTGACGGAAAATTAGAGAAGGGATGAACAAATCAGGGGGGGTTGAAGGTAAAAACTTGAAATATCTGAATTTGAGGTCAGTGGTGAAGTTAAGAGGAAAAAGCAAGAAAACTGACCAAAAGATATACAACAGAAGAGTAAACGATGGGCTCGGTGGGCGGAAATCAATCACAGACGCCGGTCGTCAACGGCAGACGAAGGTGCGGTAGGTGTTGGAAGTGTGATCGTCACCACAGTCACCGGGAGATGCAATGAGATTTCACTTGCCTGAGAGATTATTTGAGAATGGCGTTGGTAGTTGGATCAGGCAGGAACAGGAGCTGGAACATGACCAAAGCAAGAACACATTGACTGAAAATAAAAGGAGTACTGAATTGGACGAGCAAGACAAACTACTGAATGAACTGTGGGAACATCGACCCCAGCTGCAGTGCAAGGTGCGAGGATGGGGGAGGGAGATATGTTGGCACAGACCTAGTCGGTTGTAATCAGCACAAGCATGGACCAACCAGGAGATCGTAATTGTCTCCATGCAATGGTTTAAGATAGTATCTAAACGGAACACTCCCTCTTTATAAGAAACCTCCAGCCGGATAGCACCAAACTGAGATAGACAGATTAGGCAACGCCTAATTCGGGGTTTGATTAGTGGGACGTAAATCTTCTCATCGGGCTTGGCAATTAGCTGACCAATGTTTCGTCTGCAATCGAGAAAGTATCAAGAGTGTGCAGTTGTCTGGGTACTTCTTCCTTACCCGTTTGGGTTTATATGGTTTTCAAAGAGCGACTGATGTACGCCGATGCGACTGCCCAGCTCCCATACTTTCATTGGTCCGTTTGGGAGTTGTCTTGCGTCGTAGTCAGCATTTCATCGTTTCATTACATCGTAGATAGAATGTTTTTCCTCCTCTTGTGAAGCCTCTGAGAGGTACTCCAAAAGAAAAACTTGGATGATTCACTTTTTTGGGAGCAATTCTCTGCAAAATTCTCAAATAATTGACATGGAACATTTTACATCCACAGGAAAATGCTCAGGTAGAAACGAAGTCAGAGAAGAGTCGAGAGCTTCCCCTGCTTGCGAGGCACGTTTTACCCAAGAAATGACAACCAAAAGTCGGTTCACTTCATTAGATCAATCTGTGGATTAACACAAAGGTCAGTTTAGTGACGGTTCTCGAGCGAAACTGTACACGTTTCGTCTCACAAAAACGGGAACACATAATTGACAGTTAGAGCCAGACTACAAAGAATAGAGCCAAAGGTTTGTGGACAGGTTACACGCATTAGAGAATTAAAAACTATGACACATTCTTTACTTCCTAGCTTGCCTAGCTTCAATCATGTCAGTATTGAGGTACAATCTGAGGGGGGAAATGAAAAAATAGCCATCTCAGACAACTATGATAGCTTTCCAATTGCCGTCCCGACAATTAACCGTCCAATCACTATATAGTATCTCCCTCGAGGTCAGGTTGCTCCCCTCGACCGTTAAGAACACACTTTCAGTCACGGTCTTCTGCTGAAGTTAAGACAACAAGTAACCACAGTGTCTCTCGGATAAGAAAACAGATGCTTTAGAATCCGATTCAGAGAGCGAGTAAGGATCGATAGTTGCTAATCGCCTAATAGTATCTTTTACCAAGACTTCTATTTGGGTAAACAGTATAATTCGGTATTCTATAAGATTGCTAACAAAGCCGACTAGTTAGCTATACCTTTCGTCGCTACAATATCGCGGCGGCTATTTTGTGAAAAATTTACTCACAAATCCGTTAGTAGTCCTAATACTAAGATGGAGATTTCGCACTGCACATCTGCTGATTTATCCTAAACGAAAATCATTAGCAGTGCGCACCTCAGGAAACTCCTGTGAGTCTCGAATTCGCGACCTTCCGGCTAGTAGCTTGAACCGTTCGACCACGAGCTACTGATAAGAAGTGTGATTAGCTCTCACAAAAATAGGGTGATCGGTTAGGTGTTCAGTCACTGACCGGAGGGCCCAGGGTGCAAAACCCTGTGTGAGTTTCAGAGATGCGAAATGCTCATGAGTCCCATTACACAGTGCTCCTCGGCTTTTCACCAGACATTCGCTCCACATACAAGACGAAATGTCCATGAAAATTACCAAGTCTTTCCAAACTAGAGGTCCTTGAAACAGTACAAGTAAACTAACCAAAGGACTAGATTTATGGTACTTGTGTGACGGCGTTGAGCGTTCATCTGCATGTTCACTAATCTGTTCAAGACGAACAACGTCGGATATAGAGGTTCATAGAACAGAGATATGGGGAAATAAACTCGCCTGATTCTACCGAAACACCTCCGTATTACTTCAGTTCATCTTAGAAGGCGGTGGAAGGTGATGGGGGGGATGATGCTCGGTTGTCCAGGTCACAGGCATATGTTGTGGGGTTTCAATGAAACAGGATAGGGATGGAGTTGACAGATCACCTTGTGGGAGGATGTCAGGATTGGCGGAGGCTGTTTGAGGATCCATCTGCAATTGCGATGATTCAGGTACCGGGATAGTATTCAGTACAGGTAACACGGTATTTGATGGTAACACGGAAGAGTGCGTGTTCAAGGGATCCGGTGGAAGGAAAAATGAGGAATCAGAATCTATCGGGTGTCGAGAGATGGACTCAGTGGAATTGTTGATATCTGCAACTGGATTATCGTTTGCTGGGATTGATGACGAAGCCAGCTGAAAACGTTCCGGAGCGGAGGATCTTGCATTTAGACAGGAGGATGAATCTGGTAAGTAGGAGAGGGACGGATGCGAATAGTCGATTTGTGCGTCACCAACCGCTGGAGCGAGTTTCGATGTGTGCGTTAACTTATAGGTCGGGGCACCTGCGTGAAACGACGCAGCATCTGTGGACAAAGAAAAAGAAACGGGGAGGAACGGACAATACAACTCAGTTAGTCATAGCATTCAACCTGCTAAATTATGAACAGGCACGATTCGAAGCATAAACGGGTAGAGGATTATGTGCTAATTGTTTTTGTCTGATGAACAAATAAATTGTTATTTTCAGAAGATGGCACCAATCGAAGAGGCTCTGAAAATTATTATTCAGTAAGCTGAACAGCGGATACTCTTGTCAACTACAAAAAATCCAAGTTACGGCTGTGAAAGGATGTAGAAAACTCAAGAAATCGTACCCGGAAGATAGGTGAAAGGAAACGGATTGCTCCAACGTTGGCCGAGACGAATGATGACCTGGACACGGAGAGGGTGAACCAACGGTACCGACGGTCCATCGTAAGCGGGTACGCGACAAACCAAGTGAGTCTACAACAATAGTGAGAATGATGTTATCATTATCGAAAAGAACAACATCATATGGGAAGTATTAACGCGAATTCAGCTAAGAACCTGAGGCGACGTAAACACGCTTCCGAAGTAATTAATCATCAAATTATCACCTATAAACCGTGTACCGTAGAAACATTGGTTATAGCTGCTACAGTTTCGATCACCAGAAGATGCGACAATATGGAACATACAGCCAAGCCTTGCAGGCGATGATATGTTCAGTTAGTTCGGCAACAAGGTAGCTACGTATTGAATGCGGTAACTTTGATGCACGGCCACCAATGACTGCATGATTGAGTCATTTTTCAATTGTCACTAATCACTGGTGAGATGAGTCCCCGGGAGGTGGCAGTTATAGACCCGACTAAGTTTACTGGTTAGTATTTTTGTACTTTGTGGCCAGGTCACAAACTGTCCATATCTCGGTCGCTTCCACTCGGAACAGGGCTGGGCAAAAACAGCTCTGTTAGGCAGAGAGTCTTTTGGCATGCGGAGTAAATGTTCTAACCAGCGTTATCTACGAAGTGTGAGTAATTCATGAATCGTGGGAGAGTTCCTTTATTTTAGGACCAGCTGGCGTACCTTAGCTTTACTAATCCGATGTTCTTATCAGACCTGACCAATAATTCGGGGACACCGATGGTCAAACAAAGGCATCTTCTGAATGTCCTATGCGCGTAGAGACTACGTCTCTAATCCATAAAGCAGTATAGAGCGCACCGACGCACCATCGACGGACAAACTCACGTCAGTTCGGCCTCATAGGTTTCAGAGGTTGGCAAAAGCTGCCCTGGTTTTTCCGATTCGAGCAACAATCTCATTTCCATCCAGCCCACCGGAGCTTATACAACTGCCCAGGCAAATGAATTTATCTACCACGTCGATTGGCTTGTTTACATGCATGAGACTTGGGTTTGATCTCGCCATCTTGTAGCCGCACTTTACACCTTGCAGGTGTGAAGCACATGTCAAACCGTGCGGTAAAGCTCTTTAGGTCAAAAAACGTCCGCATTTGGGAAGGATATGAACCAAGGAGAGCAATATTGTCTGCATACTCAATGTCTGTGAGCGAACGTCCCGGGAGGGTTTCGACTCCCGAGTTTTCCGAAGCAGGCAAAGGAATTTCAAGCAGCATATCAATAACAATGTTGAAGAGGGAAGGTGAGAGAGACAGGCGTCGTCTTACATCATCGGATGTGCCGAACCCAGGCGAAAGCTTGCCGTACACTCGTACGCGCCTGCAGCGGTTCGCATAAAGTGCCCCCATAACTTATATAGACATGAAAGGGGCACCTTTGATAGCCGGACTGAGCCAACAGAATCAAAAGCAGCTTTCAAATCGAGGAAAATGACCAATCTGGAAAGTTTGAAAGTGGCGCTGTTCAAGAATACGTCTCAAGGTAAAGATATAGATATCAGAGTGCTATCAGAGAAAGGAAACCCGAATTGTACGAATAGGCGCGCAGTGGACCAAACGAATATTCATTACCTTTCAATGAATGTCAACGTCACGATGTTTGATGTGTCAACCTTGGACAAAATCACCCCATAGATGGGTTATACTTTCCAATGAAAGCGTATAAAACCACTGCAGACTTGATTGTCACGCTCGGTGAGTAGTTCAGCAACCAATAAACCGAGTCCGTAGGCGGATGTACATCGAGCATATATATATATATATATATATATATATATATATATATAAGTATGAGATTCACGTGATCCTATGACATAAGTGGCCAGTCACGCGAGTGCGAAGGGGTCTACGAATCAGTTTTGAATAACAAGTTTAGGCGAGCGAATTCTCAGGTCAACGACTTCTGTAGTGAACAGAATACACTATACTGCAAGAAATACGACACTCTTTTGACAACAGCAAAATATAGTGCGGTATCACGTGATATCTCGTGTTCAGTTAAAGACAATGCTCCGGGTCTGATGGTGTTAGAAATTCTACTATATAACGATAAAGCTGTTTCACGTAACGCAATAACCGTGCAACCGACTGGGATAAAACTCCAAGTGTATTCGTAAAACTGGATATTGTACAACACCGTATTGAGCTTCATGCACAAAAAAGTCCAACCGAAGAATCAAGCCTGAAAGAAGAGTTTCAGTACTAGACTGAAGCGAATTGGCACTGATGTTGTATTCATCCGTAATGTTTTTATTGCTCTGTTCTCGTTTGCTGAAACACACATGGCCTTTCGATGAGGGGTGAACAGTTTCGCGGATTAACCAAAATAATCACTGCTAAGGTTCAAGAATGTCAGCTGAGCTGAGCTGTAACTTTTAACGCTAGCTGTTATAGCTAACGCACTCCCAAGTATGGAATTACCACTGTCATATGTCGAACTAAGACCACACAAGCCCTGATACGTAGGGCACTCCATGGGTTGTTTGATCGTAAGATCGCTGAGCTTCTCGACTGTCTTCGTTGCATGGAGCACGTGAGTGGCAGTTTGCTTTGGCAAAGATAGTCGGAACCAATAATTAAGGAGTGTGACTCAGCCTCGGGTTTTTCACCCTCGTGCAACAGCGGGTCAACTACGGTTAGCTGCATTATCCAGAGAGATGAGAGCAAGGGCGCTTCTGACCACAGTGGACGGCAGAAGGATTAGGCAAACCAAAGTGAACGGTAATATCATGAACCAGTTTGTCAGTTACTGCGCTATTAATCAACAAACACTTGCTGTTATTCCTGTCGCTGCTGACAACTTTGTTACTGCGCCGTTGGAAGGAGTGCGGAAGGCTGAGATTTCCTTACTGACTGAAAGGTTTACAACTCGTGATGACGTGTGAAATGCGCAGTATTTAAGCATGGGTTTGTTCTTGTTCCTGATGCACAAAATTACCCGTTGCGGTAGGGCTATGTATTCAAAAAGTTTCCTGTTTCCATAAATCTGTCGTGAAAAGTCAATGTGAAAAGGGGCACGTGAAAAATTTTGCACAGTAAAGTTCCTCAAGTCACCAGATGACCATATGATACAGTAGCCGCAGTGAAACAGCTTGCAAGATAGCCGAGGTTGAACCATCCTGTCGCGGTCGAATTTAATGCCCCATTTTGTTACGCTACACTTGAACAACCGCGATAACTTCACAACCGACACATGGAGTGGAACAATTTTTCGGCAGTAGGATTGAGCGAAAAGTGGGGAATAGGTGAGAAACTTGGAGATAACATAGCGCTCAGAGATACCGCAATGACGATTTTCGCCAGCATTCAATGAGTGTGTCGACGACATTAGGACCGATTCTCCCTCATTACCACTTGCATCAACAACCTATTCGCTTTTGGAGTCACAGATTTCTACACCATTGTACGCTTGGTGTGTCTATCGTCTATCGGCTGCACAAACGAGTTAACAATGCCTGCCAGTCTGAATGATGAAGCATCATCAAACGGATGAATGGATCCTGGTCACGAGTTTACGCACTTATGTGTATGTATACGTGCTTCGTAATAGCATTTTCTCCAACAGCTGTAGTGCTGGACTGACTCCAAGCTGCAGCCATTATTTGATATCGCGGTATTAGGGGCGAGATGGCCAAAGTGGTTAGAGTGCGAATTTACTGACCGGAAGGTCCATGGTTCGAACCCGGCCTCTGCCTCTCGACTTCCCTATCTAGGCTTCGGCAACCTGGTAGTATCCCAGCCCTCGTGCAACCTTCGGGTGGCATGGCAGTTAGGCACCGAAAGGGTGCTACAGTTGAACGATTTTTTGCAATTTTTTCTCATCACGGTGTTGATGTCGTTGGCATCCAAATTAACGGTTTTCGAATACATACCCGTTGTTGTAAAAAAAACTGTTTCCCATGCTGCTTCGACCCGGATGAAAGTTAAGAGACTCCTTTGAACATCAAGCAGGAAACCAGCTCAGCTCAGCTCAGAAACTGGTGTAAAGTTGCACAAGAAACTTAATAAAATCCGAGGACTGCATTAACTCGATGAGCCTCAAACAAGTCGAAACCACTAACGGTTTCGACGGTTTCGATTACTACTTCACCACTGATCTTTCATTGTAATAGTGAAACGTGCCAAGAGACGGGAACACTTAACATGCAAGACGGGATAATTAATGTAACCACACGGGGGGCAGGGCAGTGGAAACTCTGAAAACATGCGCATCAATTGCAGGCTTGTCGTACACATTTGTCAACACAACTTCTGGAGAAGTATACTACACCCACACAGTTGTGAACCAACTTACGTTTGCAGTGTGAACTTGATAAATTTAAAAAAAGAATTCGGACGGCAAATGAACAGATGTGCACAAAAGAAAACACCAGGTTTTCCTCGTACACGTTGTTAAGCGCGCGTGTTCGAAATAAGGAAAACAAATGAAGGGAAGAAAAACAATACGCCTACGCACCTGTTGTGAGAATTCAACCTCTAGCGCTGCCTCCTTCTGCCAAGATACCAAAGTTTCCGAGTTGGCACCATCCAAAGGATGCGCATCTCCATGATTATCCTCAAGTTTCACATTCAATGGGGAATTGTTGGCCAATTGACGAAATATGACATGACACTCTTTGCCCAAATTCTTCCCTAGAATGAACAGGTCACCACCGCCATTAGGGCCAGATTCCGATAGAGATAAACGGCACAATTCCGGGTCACCGATTAGCTGGGCTGGGTGAAGAAGCGAAATACAGACAGGAATGTGTACGAAAAAAGGCAGAAGTGAGAAAAAACGACTAACGACAGCTTCGAAATAATGGATTTATTAGAGAGGACATTAAAAACTACGGACTTTAGCCGCCCAAAAAACGACCTTGATCAATCGGGTCTAGTCCAATACGGCCAAAAACCAAGGAAGGTATTCCGGGAACCCCGAACGATTTCAAACGCATCCGTTATGTGCACCAAAATTATGACCTCAAAGTCATTAACATCAGCCGTAAGACCTCTCAACCTGCGAGACGGTGATGTTACTCCCTTGGGATGAGTTCCCCTCCAGAAACTGTAAATCTTAACGCTATTTCGGTGACACTTCACAGCTGCAAATTGTAAAGTGTCGCTGTAACCCCGAGATCAATATCAAGCTGTAAACGAACCGATCGATAACTGTTCAAGCGGTCGCATCAAGGCGAAGCACAAATAGCCAACGTCAGGGTATCATTTGAAACCCTACGAAACCTAGGGTCGCGTCGTGATATCACCCTTCCAGCCAAGGGCAGAGATTACAACAGTGGTTTGGGAAAACATGGTGAATTTTTTCGGGTGTTTGGCTAACGGTATCTCCGAAATTACTTTCTCGATTACTCCTCCCCTGGCTTGGTAAAACTGGAATTATGTAGCGCTCATGCTTTCGTTGGGTTGCACAGCAGCTATGTAAACAGAGTGTGCCACGACTAAATGGTCTTTATTTGTTACAAGAGGAGTGGTTCGACGAGCCGCTCATATGAGACCGCGGAAAGGAACTGACTAGGGAAACCAGTGACGGCTACCACTTGTGGACTCTATCAGGACTGCGTGAACAGTGAAAGTCAACTGAGTCTGACTTATTCGACTTTGATATGGAAGCTGAGCTCGAGACGGCTCAGTAGTTCGGGTACGAACTTACTGATTGAGAGGTCCATGGTTCGAACCCGACCTCTACATCTCGACTGCTCCTGTCAAGGCTTAGGCAACCTGGGAGTATCTCAGCCTTCGTCCTACTCTAACCGCTGAGCCATGTCGCCCCCATAGGCTTACCAAGCTGGTAATCGAGCAATCGTACACAGTGGTCGCCTTTCGTGCGGCATTGCAGCTGGGCACTGAAAGCGTGCTACAGATGATTTATTGTTATGGAAGGTGAGTGAAGGAAAAAGTACTATGGTGTTATCTTTTTCTCACAGAGTGGATGGTGAGTTCGTGGCTCGACTCTAGTAATTTGTCATTTTGTCGGCACATTTAAACGAGAGCACGTCGCTTGGTTATACGTCCCAGCCGAGTACAACGCTCATTTCGGTCGGTGGAGAAGGTGTTCCTCATCAGGTACCACAACACTCGTCGACCTGACGTGCGTTGACTGGGTTGTGGTAAGTTTGTTTTAATCCGAGAAAGTACACTTCTAACTAAACCAGTGTAACATATGCGTCCAAGAGAACAATTTCACACACAGAATTTCAATTTGGCAGACATAGGCTGAATGCAAAATCGTTCAGTTGTAACACCCCTTCGGTGCCCAGCTGCCATGCCACCCGAAGGAAGCACGAGGGCTGGGNCAAGTTAGCAGGTGCTCGGCTAATCTGAATAGAAGTAATTCACTCGAACATACTATTAGTTTTAAGTTGTCTAGTTTGGTTTGCCTCCAAACAGACTGGGAGTGCACCTACCTTGTATTACAGTAAACTTTGAAGCGTCAACCACATTTTGTTTTCATCTCCCAGAAGAATGAGCAACGGTCTTACACAGCTTTTCTCAGACAAGCACTGGTCAACCGATCGATACTGGCGACAGATATGAAGCATGGTAAAGACCACCAGCCATTCACTTTGTGCACATGTAGTTCCGCGTAATGACGTCCCTGACACAGTACTTCCGAACAGGGCAATAAAAACATGCGAACGCAATACAGACGGACGGCAAAGGGGTCTGTGTTATAAGAACTGGTCGATCATCCGCACCAGACATTTTTCCAAATCACGTGACACACATTCGCAAACAACATTAGGCAAAATAGGGCATATTTCAAGGGGAAATTCAAAGTGCATCGTGTGGCATTTTCTTCCCCTTGACTGACAGCCCACCAGCATGAAATCTGACAGTTAAGGGTTGTTCAAACAAGCCCGTGCGGTGTACGGTGAAAAGTTACTATCGTCACAAGCAGACCCCAAGTGCAATGGAAGAACAGGATGAGTGTAAAATTTAACATCTCTCCACTGCATCCATGTAGACATGAATTTATTCCCGGGGAAACGGTTGAATACAATGGGCGCGTGGTCACATTCATGAGGAATGAACCAAGGCTCAGCCGCACTTCATCTGCAGGACATTAGGACTGATCATTCTCACTGGGGACATAGGGCCTGAGTTGAACCACAGGTATTTCTATCAATTGGTTCGCAACCTAATACTACGATAGGCTTGTGGGCACTTTCAGCTGGGGACAACAGTTCAGTAAAGTTCAGTCGTCAAGGAATCTTCACGTATTGGATTTAATCCCTATCTGTTGTGGTTTATAGGGGCAAGATCATCATCACCATCACTGACAGCAACACCAGATGAGAAACACTGGTGCTTCACTGTCGTACAAAGTTATCGATTTATTTGAACAAAGCCTTATAACGGAAGAAAAAATTTAACACGGGAAGGCACTAAAAGCTAGATTAAGACAAACATACGATGTGACTACATCTCCAACAATCAATCAGACAATCTGGACGGAAATTGACTGCATCAACACTACTGACATCTACCAGCCGCCATACCGTCCAGTGTCTTGAGCTAAGCACAGAGAAAGCCATGTAGAGCCCATCCTGAGAGGCACACAGCTCCAACGCCACCCAAACTTTCCGTAACAAACTTCCTTCTCCCCGGCCCCATCAAACAGACAGCAATTCGACATGGGTGACACATGGCACAACTACAACACCCCTTAGGTGTCTAGCTGCCCCGCCACCAGAAGGAAGCACGAGAGCTGAGATACTTCCAGGTTGCCCGAGCCTGGACAGAAGCAGTCGCTGCAGACAGCGGGTTCGAACCACGGACCTTCTGGTCAGTAAGTTCTAGCCTTAACCACTAAACGATCTCGGGCAGAAGAGCGCAACCATAAATGCAAAGCTGACCGCAAAAGACGTTTTACGTTCCTGGAAAGTGAGGTTCTTGTCTAAATTGGTATATATATTGGTATATATACTGATGTCCCCTGGAAAATGGACTTCATCGGTAGACACACTAATTTAGACGATACTTCTGTCTCAAGGATTGCACGAGCCGGATCCGTGTCGTCCACGTGCCGCTCAAAATTTTCGAGGAATTTGGTTTGATGACTGCAGCAAAACTCTAATTTATATTAGCGAATATACACTCTTTTGCAAACTAATTTGTTTTTTTTTCGAGAGACTCACCTGGAACCCAGCTGAATCATGGGCTGTCGATGGATTTTCAGCAACCTTATGAGTAGTACGTCACAAAGATCTAATTTATATTCGTTGAAATACGGATGGCCACCTGGACTTTTTTGTTTTAAAAGTACTTGCTTTCAACTGTATCCCTGTGGTAAAAGTTTCTGGCTGCGTCGACCAAGATCTCCTCTACTCAGGAGCTCTTCAGTGTTCTTCCATCTGCAGCCCTTAAGCAAACTGTCTGCCAAGTATCCTTCTATTCCTGTCAGGCACTCAGAATTTTGTTACCCACTACCACACTCGTAGGTTAACACTGGTCGGCTTCCAGTCGAGCCGTCGCAGATGGTGAACTAGCCGACCTCACTAAATTTGCTGCTTATCCTGGAGGGACACTGATTGGTAGTCGCCTAAGCCGTGGGCATTCCCAGCTGAGTGTGGGTGGCTAAACTATTATTCTTAGACATTCTCGACTGACAGTTAACTCTCTCGGATTAACTGGTCTATCTGTTTTAGAATGTTTCCATGCGTACTCCCTGTCGCAAATGAGCAGTTCAGGCTCAGTATCCTGAAATCCTTTAACACCTCCACTCATCTGATTACTAACGCAACGACCCCTTTGTTGTTATCCTGTAATGCTTGGGTTTTCCTAGGCCTTTCCATTTAGGATATAGTTGTTGGTACTTTACCAGTTCTCCCACTACGACTGTTGATAGACTTTCATTCCGTGGATTGGCCGGTTCTGGCAACCACAAGGGTTGTGTCTGCTTGCCTGGTTTCTAGATTCTCATATCCCTTCTGCCTAATACGATAATCCCCATTTACGTAGGATCAAGGCACTCGACCGGTTGTCTTGACTGTGTCGATAGGCCGACCGTCCGTCCGGAGTTGGGGCCATGTACCCCATGTGGACTTACCAGAATAATGACAGCGGGATAGATGGTGTTCAAGCAATAGCTGTGTGAATGTGGATTTTACATTTCCAGTAACCACCTAAAAATTGTGGGCAGTCAGGAAGGTCAGTTGCCGTTTTGCTACCGAGGCTCAAGACATTTTAGGCACACCCACTGTGATAAAGAGAAAGTTCCGATCGCCATAAAGCCGCGTGAACTACGTATCAATTCTAATTTCACGACAGAATGAATTATTGCCTACGATTGAGCGCCTGTTGGGAACCCTGATATTATTAGCGTTGCTGAGTTTGCATTCATTTTGAGGGACTTCAGCTTATTCGCTTATTCGATCCGGTTTTTATCATTCTTACCTATCAATTAACGGAGGCTTTCGTTCCCGGCGACTCTACTGGACTTACCACCGGAATCCAGTTCATTTTTCCTAGTTTGTATAATGTGGTCGTGCGTACACCCCCTTCAGATGGGAAATAATGGCGCCAACCAGGGAGAGTGTATCGCCGAGATTGATTGTTATTCTGATTCGTTGAATCAGAGGTAGCCAAATAGATATGGAATAGACATGAAATATTCGTGCTTGGTTTTCAGTCACTGAACCACAGATCTGCATTTTTATGGGAGCCGAAAAAGCCCAGAATAACATGGAAGCATTCAGCTCTTGGCAGCAAAAAAGTAATTCGTACCACCCTAAAACAACTGACTGCGGGCTCGTTTTCATATATATATATATATAATTTATATATCTGAATTCCAGCTTACCTCCGATTGTTTCCGATACAGCTGAACGAAAGCCAGGGTTGGACGATCAGAATCCTTTGTTGAAATATAGCCTACTTGCCAAATCAAAGTAGTTCAAGCATTGCACGTGAAACTAATTCATTCCGCTGAACCTCCGCGCCAAGATATTAAAAATTACATTTAACTACTAATCGCAATTAAGTAGAACAAACCTATGTTTGATTCCCTCAATCTCGACGATACACTCTCCCTGGTTGGCGCCATTATTTCCCATCTGAAGGGGGTGTACGCACGACCACATTATACAAACTAGGAAAAATGAACTGGATTCCGGTGGTAAGTCCAGTAGAGTCGCCGGGAACGAAAGCCTCCGTTAATTGATAGGTAAGAATGATAAAAACCGGATCGAATAAGCGAATAAGCTGAAGTCCCTCAAAATGAATGCAAACTCAGCAACGCTAATAATATCAGGGTTCCCAACAGGCGCTCAATCGTAGGCAATAATTCATTCTGTCGTGAAATTAGAATTGATACGTAGTTCACGCGGCTTTATGGCGATCGGAACTTTCTCTTTATCACAGTGGGTGTGCCTAAAATGTCTTGAGCCTCGGTAGCAAAACGGCAACTGACCTTCCTGACTGCCCACAATTTTTAGGTGGTTACTGGAAATGTAAAATCCACATTCACACAGCTATTGCTTGAACACCATCTATCCCGCTGTCATTATTCTGGTAAGTCCACATGGGGTACATGGCCCCAACTCCGGACGGACGGTCGGCCTATCGACACAGTCAAGACAACCGGTCGAGTGCCTTGATCCTACGTAAATGGGGATTATCGTATTAGGCAGAAGGGATATGAGAATCTAGAAACCAGGCAAGCAGACACAACCCTTGTGGTTGCCAGAACCGGCCAATCCACGGAATGAAAGTCTATCAACAGTCGTAGTGGGAGAACTGGTAAAGTACCAACAACTATATCCTAAATGGAAAGGCCTAGGAAAACCCAAGCATTACAGGATAACAACAAAGGGGTCGTTGCGTTAGTAATCAGATGAGTGGAGGTGTTAAAGGATTTCAGGATACTGAGCCTGAACTGCTCATTTGCGACAGGGAGTACGCATGGAAACATTCTAAAACAGATAGACCAGTTAATCCGAGAGAGTTAACTGTCAGTCGAGAATGTCTAAGAATAATAGTTTAGCCACCCACACTCAGCTGGGAATGCCCACGGCTTAGGCGACTACCAATCAGTGTCCCTCCAGGATAAGCAGCAAATTTAGTGAGGTCGGCTAGTTCACCATCTGCGACGGCTCGACTGGAAGCCGACCAGTGTTAACCTACGAGTGTGGTAGTGGGTAACAAAATTCTGAGTGCCTGACAGGAATAGAAGGATACTTGGCAGACAGTTTGCTTAAGGGCTGCAGATGGAAGAACACTGAAGAGCTCCTGAGTAGAGGAGATCTTGGTCGACGCAGCCAGAAACTTTTACCACAGGGATACAGTTGAAAGCAAGTACTTTTAAAACAAAAAAGTCCAGGTGGCCATCCGTATTTCAACGAATATAAATTAGATCTTTGTGACGTACTACTCATAAGGTTGCTGAAAATCCATCGACAGCCCATGATTCAGCTGGGTTCCAGGTGAGTCTCTCGAAAAAAAAAAAAAATTAGTTTGCAAAAGAGTGTATATTCGCTAATATAAATTAGAGTTTTGCTGCAGTCATCAAACCAAATTCCTCGAAAATTTTGAGCGGCACGTGGACGACACGGATCCGGCTCGTGCAATCCTTCCTTGAGACGAAGTATCGTCTAAATTAGTGTGTCTACCGATGAAGTCCATTTTCCATGGGACATCAGTTTGTGTTCACTCCTTCTGGAACGGCGATGATTATAAACGATCTTTGAAAGTCATCATCAACATCATCATTGTCAGCTGTAATAACCGCGTACTCGTCGTACAGTGGCGGTAGCTGCCGCACAAAATAAAGAGTATAGATGGCTTGGGAGGAACAACAATTCAACTTCCATTCACTCAACGGACCTGTCAACAAGTGACCACGCGACATGAATCTCAAGACTGAAGGATGAGTGGTAATACATCCCTAGTGCGAGTTCAACACATGGTTCAACATATATCGTTCACCTGTAGCACACTTCCGGTGCCTAACTGGCATGCTACCCGAAGGAAGCACGAGGGCTGGGATATTGCCATATTACCCAAGCCTAGACAGAGGTCGGGTTCGAACCACGGGCCTTCCGGTCAGTAAATTCACGCTCTAACCACTTGGGCCATCTCGCCCCAACATGGAAGAGTACAACTGCTAGCCCGGAGATAGTAGGTTCGAGCCTGCGCAGAGAATTGCACCACATGTAATGCGGATGATTCCCAACAAGGATGAACCAGATGCTGCATAGTGGGCATAGACTGTCTTCATTTACAGGACGAAATCTTCATTGAAATTTCTAAATCTCTTCAACTATCAGCACACTACTATAGAGCCACCGTATCAGCAGCAAGTAGCTGTGTAGTCAACCTGATAACATAGATTCTATAGGAGAGGTGAATTCTCGCCGAAACAGAGCCGCATTAGTTTGGGGCATATGAAGAAATTAGGGGCACCGATAGGATACTATTTCAATTAGTGCCGGTTTCCACTGAAGTAACCTGGCAAACGGCACAAAGGCGGGGATGGTCCAGCTCGCGAAACGACAGCTGAACGCACCTCGGTGCGGACCGAAGTCCAAAAATAAAATTCGTTGAACGTCACTTAGCACGTACTGAACAAACATTGCACACACCCGTCGACTGCGCATGGACGTAGTTCGAACGCGAGCATTCTCGAGCACGTGGTTGCCTGGTCGGTTGAATGTCAATCAGATACATCACTGACCATGAAATATGTTTATTCAAAACAAATCCGAAATTATGTAGGGTTGTAAATACAGTCAAGAACTTGTGAGCAATAGCTGAATACTCACTGGTACTGAGGAGTGTCATGGGGACGACAGGGAATTGTGCATTGAAAAGCCCACGACACCAGCTACTTTTAGCCATCGAACGGATTCGGCCAAATAAACGTGACCAAACTGTTCACATTTCGCTAGAACCAAGCTATGCACAGAGTTGGATTCCTCGACTGTGACAAGTATTGAGGTGTGGTAAACGAAAGCAGTCAATGAACAGGGAACTTACTGCACAAGATCGGATCCGAAGCAACTTGAATAGCCTCAATGCTACCCGTGTTTTCATGGAATAACAGAACCCGGAAAACGAGACGCGCTTTGCCAGGTTTTCGACCACCACCACAAATCGGTTTTGCATTGATCTTGGTTCGAGGGACTTCAGCTGCCCTGGTCTTTGATACCAACTCATCGGATGCCCCGTTGCGCAAACAATCGTTGGCGGTAGATGGAGCGGTCATATTGTTACCATTTGTCGAGGCTACCTGAGACCGTTGTTCCACATCAGTTTTACGAAGTTTCAAAATTCCCACACACTCCACACTAAAGCGGGAAGTCAAGTAGTAATCGAAAAGAAAACCTATCCGTGAGTACGCGGATGAAGAAAACAGAAGCTTTAAATAGACGGTGGACTAAAATAAATTCGCTACACCCTGGGTTAACAAGTGGAATGAACTGAACGAGATAATGGAATGTCTAGTTTCGTGAAAGTGCATCAGATAAAGGGGCGACTCCGAATGTACTGAAACCGAGGACTGGTAACGATGGGAGCTGCTTATGGGAATATTGGTCGCAATCAGGACACCAATGACGGGGTTATGATATCTAGGCAACTGTTTCCCGCACCAACATGCTTCCAAATGGTGAACAATTTTGAAACAATATCAATATCATTCATAAGATGAAAATTCCTGAGAAATGTGTGCTGAGCACATGCATGATCATACCCAGTAGGAACTAGTTGTTATGGCGATTTCAGCCGGATTTATCATGTGATCTACGAAACACACGCGACCGGAATCAGGGATAAGCATTGGTGAGTACTTTTTGGTATCGATGGTTGGAACAGTACAAAAGGCCCTCAAGTAAACGGATTTGCCACAAGGGGGGTTGTTCAGCGGAGAAAATCCCAGTCATGGTGACCGGATGAAGAACACTAAAGAGGAGACTAAGCTTGGGGGCGATGACCATGTTTGATGGACATAGGCCCATTAGAAGAGGTAGATCACCAGGTGTTGTAGACTGGGAGCACGTTCACGGATAGAACGATCCTACCATTCTCGTTTATCTCATTCCCCATGGGTGAAGTGGGTCGGTTGGGAAAATCATGTAAGCTGATGAGGACGGTGTCGACTCCTCTCTTGTGCATACAAGGGGTTTTATCTCATTTCTTGTTTCTAATTCGTGCATATTTCCCTTTTCTTGTTCTTGATCTATTAATCATTACTTAATCTACATCAACCGGTTAACTACTCTCTGACCTCGATTTTGTGCGCCTAATTCAATACCATCATCATCTTGGGATTGGTTTGTCTTGATTCGGTGTGAAATTCGGGTAGTTGTTCTACTTCCTACCCAATCCATTTGCCCAAGATCCCTCGAAGAATCATTTTTATTTAATCTGGTGCATAGAAACCAGACTATTTGAGGTTTGTACCATTTTTGTCACTTTATTATCGTAATTACAATATGGCATATTTTGATGAAACTTCATTTGAACGACTAGACTTTTGGGGGTTTGGAGCGTCACGCAGCCTGGTCAACCTTATTGCAGTCAAAACATAGTAGGCCCAATCAGGTTGATGTGAGCGTGGATCCACTCGTTATCGTATACAGAAAGACTCAGCATGAATGGGATTCGACAGTACAGTTCAAGTTTTCTGCATTGTCAGATGGTGAGCTTCCAGCATTCATAATATCAGCGGAGGCGATAAAGAGTAAGAACGATGGGGAATGAAAAAGGGGTTGACAATGTGCACTCTCGCTCAGGTGAATGCATGAGCTTCAAAAAGGACACCTCAAATAGACCGGCAATCATGAACTGATAACCAGTTCATTGCTGAAGGTCAAACTCAGATTGTTTACAGACGAATGATATATCCACCCAGTCTGAAAAGATTGTGAACAAAGCTGACACTCCCGTTACGTTCTTCGGCCTTCTTCCATTTACTTACGAAAGCAAATAAGGACGAAGAACTGTGACGACGATTCGCACGAACTGCTTAAGAAGACTACTCAAACTGGAGTGAAAGAAGCTTACAAGTTCGACTGTGGATCGTCCGCATGACTTCCACCTACACAAAGTCCCCGGGGTGAAGTGCAAAATGACAAACGGATGGAATAACAGTCGTTCGTTTCGAACGGCTCAAGAAGTACCTATTCGATACGAATACGGGATTCTTTCGGTGATCTCACCTTATTCCACTAAATCTGATTCATTCACTTCGATTCAGCTTCCTGTGTCAAACAACTCTTCGTGGGCACATAGCAGGACCGGATTTCTTGTAGAAACGGAAAAATTGCAATCAAATATACTCACCTCAACGTCCAGTTATTCGCGTTGGAGAAGGACATCTCAATCACATTGACCCCATCACGAATGGTCTGAACGCAGTATTTGGTCGACTTTCCGACGACTAAATAGGCTTGGTAGAAAGGATGCGGCCGCGTACGTCCATACTCCGTACCCACAAACACCTGCAACGATGCTCGACCGTTCCAACCAAGGAGCTGAAGAAATTTTGAAAGAAAAACATCGAAAAAATACGCACAAAAAGGAAGAACAGTAACCGACCCTTTGATCCAGAAAACTGCTAGTACCCTCAAATCATATGAATCATACGAATCACACACAGGTTTCGAGCTCACGGGGACAGAAAATCCAGCGGAGGTACGAAACTTGATCAAATTTGGTTAACAACGAGGAAAGACTGAGGAGTACAGAACACGAAGGGACACTTCACAGTGTAGGAAGAAATTACCAGAGCAGTTGGTACCTAGCTTTTGACTTCCAAAGTAAGGTATGACGGAACGATTCCGAACGGTGCAATTCCGAACGGTCCCAGAATGGAATCTGCCCTACCGAAATTAGCAACAGGAGGTCGATGTGGTCATTCTCGACGATGGTATCACCGAAGCCAGATAGATCAGTGATGGATTCTGAAATTCAGAGATACCCTTACGTCTTTGTTTGTAAAACACATGTGTGAAGATCTGACTCGGTCACCACTCTCGATCTAACTAGCTACATAAAATCGCGTCCAACAAGCACTGACATACACTGAATGGCGCTCAGAATGGAGAAAAATTGGACCGACCCGAAAGGAACTGCTACCATTCACAGTAATCATTTACACTCAATGGGTTTGGAGGAACCAGATCAAACAGTACTGCAGTCCAAAAATCAAAATGAAGTAAATATCTCAAAATGGGCAAGAACGCTGAGTCGTATTCGTATTCCAAAAGACGCATTTTCTCAGGTGTTTTCGTCTCACTTTTCCAATACTGAAGAAGGCCCTTGGAAGAAGGCTTTGCAGGGGATGATTTCAATAGGTTCCACATGTGACAGCCGACAAGCGCACTCCTCATGTGAACAGTTTCTGTCTCTCTGTGTGTTCACCTTTGCTAGTGTCTGTTGGCCATCCCACACCATCTGTCGCAAGATAAATTTGTCCGACATGTACTACCGGTCGTCCCGCCTAGCTTCCATGCCACGCGAAGGATTCACAAGAGGTGAGATACTGCCTATACAGGAACAGTCGGGATACAGAGGTCGGGTTCCAACCATGAACCTTCAGGTCAATAAACTCGCGCTTTAACTACTGAGGCATCTCGGGCTGTTTTGGTGTATTATCTGTTGTCACTTTATCGCTTGTTGATACACGCAGCTCCCGTCCCATTACGTCTTGGTTCTCTCTCCGGCGACTGGTAGATTAAGTACAATAGTCAACCAGGCGATTTAGGATCATAGCAGCATACACGACACCATGGCTCTAAAGATGAACCCCTATATCCTGTTCGTCAGATTATTATTGACTTCTATATCATCGTTTTTAACAAAAAAAACGATAAAAAAAGTCGTCACAAAAATCTGAGAGCTTAAGCTAGCAAGGTGAGCTAAACGAGTTCCTAAAAGTCTGTTATCACTGATGTAACAGATATTGAAAGCAAACAAACTGAAGCATCCATTAGACAGAACACTTTACCGCATGAGTCGGCTTTGCCTCAGTAGTTCAGACAGATGTAATACCGGTAAACCAATAAACAGTCGAGAAGCTGTTGCTAAATCCTACTCAACTGCATACAGTGTCTCGCCTAACGAGATGTGGAAAGTCAGACCAACAAGTCAAGCGGATCAAATGCGGCCACATGATGAACTCGCGATCGATTGACCGCGATAGCCAAACGAGCGAACAAACAAAAGCCGAGTGTGACAGGTAGCTCACGCAAATCACAGAACGATAATCGTCGGTGTGATCGTGACATCGTGATTATCAAGGAATCTGACAATGTGTGCGTGTGTGTTTGTACACGTACGGACAGGAGTGGTGTGTTAGACCACTAATACAACGATAATACAATATACGGTTACATTAACAAGGATGGGTGGCAGGTAGAACCAAGCGCAGTTTTGGGCGTTGCACGGTGTATCGCCGTCGCCGTCAATGATATAATCGATAATAGTACCATTAATAATAATAATACACCGACCACCGACAGAAACGATTTATTCGCACCACTCAAAGAGGTCCACCGAAGGCATGACAAGAGGTGGTTTGATCCGAACGAAGTTAACGCGTACAGCTGCAAAATACCACAAAATTGGCGATTTTGTGAGAGAATGAGAAGTTTTCCACTCTTTCACCAATTTGCCACGGGACAAGAAAGTGTCAATCGTTCGATCCATGTTTGTGAGAAAAAATTCGAAGCACCAGTTATGCTTCATTCTCAGGAACTTCCTTATTGGGGGGATCGCACCACACTGAAAAACAGTGGCGGACAGTACACGATCGTAAGGATACAAAATGTTGCGATATAAACTGGTCCGTCCAGTTGTAAGCAGGGATACCGGCGAAACTGTCTCCCTGACCACTGATTATTTTTCCCGAACGGCTGATCACCTACCGAATACTTCATTTACTACGGAAAAGACAAATCTCAAACGCTCCAGGTTCATGTGCAGCTGTCAGTAGTTGGATCGCTACCGCGCTCTATCTTAGCGGTACGATGAGTGAAACAAATAGCACCTGCTTCGGACACATTAAATAGACCTACACAAAATAAAGATGAGCAACCATACTGCCCGGACAAGAATGTCGAAATACCAGAGTTGCGTTGCAATCCCACAGGTCCCGGCCAGTAGCTAGAGCATTAATTACGTAAATATATCAAACCTAGGCCGCTACAAATTTGTACCTTCCATCGACCTTTTGTGCTACTCACGGCCGTGACAACTGAAGTTCAGAAGAACATGTAACTCGAGTCCTAGCGAAGTTATCCCGAATCTGTTGAGTATTTACACGGGTTGAAATTAATCAGTGGGCACCTACCGGGTAAACGGTGCTGTGATCTGTCAAACATCCAAAAAAGTTTCGAATGCTAGCAACCAAGCACGAGTGTCGAATGGTTTCAGAAAGACGGACATTGTCAGCGGCTCTTAAATCTCAGTTTGGAAACACTTTCAAGAGTCCCACCAGGCTGGTACATTTTACTGCTCGATACGTACGCACGACACCGACCTAGTGTCTCATTAAGAAATCGGTCCTAAAAATGAGGCGAACTGGTGCAGTTTCAAATAGCATGTCCCCAAGAGAGTTGGGGCCAAGACATCAAGAGTCAGGTCGATGAGGTCGAAAACTATTTCCTGAGCTTGTCATGCATAAGGTGAGTCTAGTTTAGACTTGGAAAGTTGCGCTGCACACACACAAGCAAAAACACGGTAAGGCCAAGATTGAATTGTTTACCAAAGCAGTCATAAGAAGCTGACCTTAACAAAACCGGATCAGACGCACGCTTTGGTGCACGTGGTCTTGGATTTCGGGTCCGATCAGTGTCACATATGAAGTTGCATTGAAAGACCCAGATGTCTTCAAAACAATACCATACAAACGAACGAAAGAGGCTTCTGTGAAAATTGTATGTGAAACTTGTGTATGAAGCGCGCATAGCGGAAACTTCGGTCATCATATTATTCAAAACAAGCTGGTCTATTCTCCACCCGGATTGTTCGGAGTAGCCTTCTGAAAATTAGGCTAACGGCCCACTCGGCGTTCATAATCCCATCCAAGGAGGGAAAGAATTTGAAGCTGGTGGTCGAATGGAACAAGTGCTCCTGAAATCATACGGTCCTCTGACAACCCTGAAGAACTACATTAATTCCTCTGTGCACAGATGAAAAACTTGCAGTGAGTTGACAGCCGCATTCTTAGATTCCACGAAATTGTAAAATAAAACAATCATCCTGTAGACGTAAAACACTACTCATAAGGTTGCTGGAAATTCTTCGACAGCCCACAATTTCATCCTTCTTGGGGCTCATCAGCTAGGCGCAGTCCCAGAGTTTCCGTCTCACATTACACGAAATTAGCGAAATACACTCATTTGCAAACAAATGTCGTTTTGCGGGAGACCCATCTGAATCTCTCGTTTATGATGTTTCCCAGCAACAATTTTCAGCAACCTTATGAGTATTGTATTGCGTCTATATATGTATCGCAATATCTCGACATCGTACGAACTGAAACGTGAAGCGGCCTGGTGCAATACATTCGGTAACTTGAAAACATCATAAACGAGAGATTCAGTTGGGTTCCAGGTGTATTTTCCGAAAAAGCAAATATGTATGTAAATGAGTGTATTTCGCTATCATTCCAGTTGATTAGCAAAAGGTAACAAAGATCATCTGCATAAACGAGTGAGTATCTGTTGTAGTCCGAACTTACAAGTATCTTAGCATGTTCAGAGACGGGTGGTTTCGGAAACGGGCAACCTCGTCCTTTGCACCCCACTAAAATCCTCCTCCCACAAGACCTGCTGAGGAAGTCACTGGTTTCTCATGATGAAGGTATCCTCACCAAAGTGAAACAGCGCAAGCGGATGATGGGCGCTAAAACCTGGCTGGCCATCAGCTGGTAACCCAATTGGATTCAAAAACGAACGACATCAATTCCGACGGACTGGGCGAATCAGATCACTGAGAAATCAATGCCAGCGCTGTTTATTTGTTGGTTACGGGTTGAATTTGGTTTTGCGAAGGCTAACGGATCAAAGCTGGTTGGTGTTGAAGTCCCATGGTAATGTCTCCTAGACGCAATTTCGTTCATCCCACGCGCACTCTAATGGACCAGCGGATATGACAACCACAGCGCAAGCTAGAATTCTCAAAATAAGACACTGGAATGCTCGTACCCTATGTAATACTGCCAGCATCAACAAGAACTACGACTGTCAAACATATACCGAGTGCATGAGGAATCCGGATTCCCAGACAATGTTTCATATTGTTTTTTTCACTGCCGACAAGTAGGCGAATCAGGCCTTAGGATGATTAATCAATCTCGAGACACTTCTTAACTGGGATGCAATATCTTCAATGATTCCACCAGCTCTTTAAAGAGACCCTTATGAGTTCAACAAGGAGAGCGATTCACAGCCCTACTTGTGCGAGGTCAGAGCAAAACACGATGGACGAGTTCCACTAACACTCAGGTGACTCGTCATCATCATCATCATAATTATTAGTGTTCAACATTGATATTCCACTGCCGTACAACCATGACTTATTGAAATCCTTACTGTGAAGAAAAGAATGAAGGTAGACGGTGAAAGGACTTAGTCCTAGTTGACTATAATCCCACCGGGGTGCATAGATCTCCAGATACTCACCCAAGCAAACTGGATAGAAACCAACAAGAATACCACTGACATCGATGAGCGGCCATATCTTGCAGCCAAGCAATCTGGATACAAACTAACAAGAACACCATTGACATCGATGAGCGGCCATATCTTGCAGCGTTCCCAAACAGGGATCACAAGGTACCCATCCTGGAAGGCAAGTAGCACCAAGAGCACCCACAAGATCCGTAATTTCTTTCACACTCCTCTGTAAGCTCAACGGCTGGCCACCTCTCTGCTTTCGCCACTTTGAATTGGGCACGGAAAACAGCACTCTCTTCGGCAAACGATGGTTCGGCATACGCCATACATGGCCTAAGCAACGCAGCTTCTGGTGCTGGACACATTCTTCAAGGGAAGCTTACGTTGCACAACCCAAAACTCACTTTCAAACTGCCTCGTTACGGATTCGCCGACATCAACCTACACGAGCTATGGTTCTGAGACAACGATTGCCGAACACCTAAAGATGTCTCAGTTCTGTTGATCCAACACGCCAAGTCTCACAGTAATACAATACAACAGCCCACAATGTAGCCTGATACAGTATTTTGACGCCATAGATGTCTCAAATTTGCAAACGCGACCGGAGCCTTGCAGATTCGTGCATTGACCCCATTTTTCACACCACAACCAGAACTAATACAACATCCAAGGTACGTCAAACACTCCAAATTCAAGTGCATCCCCCTGGATTGTAAATGGCCAGAGGTGTGCAGCCGAAAGTCAGTGGAGTGACGGGGCACTAAAGTTAACCACAGCTTGTATTTTGAACACCCGTTTCTGAGACACAGCGCAAATCATTCGAGTACAGTGTGAGAGCAAGAGCAGCTTGCTGACCTGCTTGCTTCAGAGTGCGGACTTTAGGAGGCAACCAGATAGACTGGGCGTCAAGGTTAGAAGACTGACCTCGCGATGCCTAAAGATGTCCTCGATGGGCGACACGCAGACGTTGCCTGCAAACAGATGCAGGACGAAAGGAGTCATCAGTTCTAAGTGCTGGACCTACAAGGAGAGAGTCATTAATAGGGTGTGGGAGAAAATGTGTGTGTGAGAGAGAGAGAAAGAGAGAGAGAAAGAAGGAAAGGAAGAAGGGGGTGTCAGCAGTAGCATACAGCCCTGTTGTATGCAGCGAGTAAGGCAATCCGGCTCATGGCACCACAGGACGGTCGATGTGACATGAACTTATTTATATATGTGCAGTTCATGGTTGTACGTGGGCTGGGATACTGCCAAGGCGCCTACACCTAGAAAAGAGGACGATTAGGGCTTTCAACCAAGGCCTTCGGCTCAAAAGCAGCGGTTTGGCTAGAAATGCCATTGCCATTTTTTCGGAACACATCGCCACACATGTTCCAACCTCCAACCTGGAGGGCCAGGAGATTAAGTTGACCAGACTTTTAACCACTGAACAACTTAGTATGAGACTTTGTGGGTGTCGCTCAGACATCCCCCTTTGAGGTACACAATAAGCCACACCATGGTAACGTCCAGTCCCCACGTGGTGGGTGAATAGAACGTCTGAATTAGTCTTAGACGACAACCCCCAATAACTTGTAAGTGCTACAAGAATAACGACAGCCTCAAACTTCGTCTCTCTTAACTAGCTCCTTGCTAACGATACCCAGTTTCACAAACCCACGGAACTCTTCATGACGTTAAAACCAGAACCATAAGGTAGACCGCAACATCAGTGTTCGCACTGATGCTTAAACAACATGCCTTATTTAATTACCCTTAAAGCCTTAAACTGATGGGAACTGATAGTAGCCTATCACAATCACTCCGGGGTGATTTCACCGCTGAACGTTCAACCTGACAACCTCGAAAGTAAATGACAGCATGAACGCCACCGCAGTCGGTTAGATATCATATCTTACAATAGAATAACCTGACGCACAACACAACAGCTTTGAGTGTCTTCAAAGACCAACTTTTCTCCATTCGCAAGGACGCGCCTATCCAGCCTCTTGATATAAAATACTTTGGTTCTACCGTTTCACTCAACAAGCGCTAGAATCAAATGAGATGGTGCAGCGACTGTTCTGAACACCGCGAAGAACCAAGATCAACTTAAGTACGCCTAGTCTTCAATACATCTATTTGGCTTCGCTTCTGAATTATGCCTCTTAAACATGGCCTCTAGGAGCAGATGATTGAAAGCCAGAACTACCTCTTCACTGCTGATTCCGACGTATAGTGAGATCCACGACCTAGTATGCTTATGTCCGCTCGTAAGAATATTTTTGGAACCCCGTAAAATGCTTCGTGACCGACTGAAAAAGGATCTATAGTTGAGAAATGCTCAACTGAATGCATTCTGAGGAACAGACAGCCGTGACTCCACGCTACCAGGAGAAAGATGTTCACAGAGCCCACAGGCACACCAACACAGCATAGCAATCAGATGCGAGTAAGAAAGAATGTGTTAGGTGAGCACGGGAATGTGACAGAATACAAACGTCCAGACAGATCGATTAGGTCCGGTGACCCGCAACACGACTAGATAAGATTGAGAATAACAAAAGAACGAATAAGAAACAAATCAGTCCTTATTACCGCTAATCCAACGCTCAGAGTTAATATGAAAAACGAAAGTATGTCAACAATTTTCAATTAAAAATGATGATACCTTGGTCGCTGTCAGATCTAAGAGGTTCGAAGATTGTTCGGAGACTGAGTACAGTTCAGTCCAACCTCTCCTCTACCTACTATGAAGAGACAGACAACTGCACTAACATGCAGACAGGATAAGTTATTTAAATGCAGCGTTTATAGAAAGTATTGTTCCAGTTTTAGTTTGGCGAAATACAGACGCAATGTTGTATGATCACTGTTCACTTGAGCATGCGAAATCTTCACATCGGACTGTATCCACTATAAGGTAAAAATTTAAGCAGGACTCTAAAAGAGTGAACTTTGTAGTCTATCAGACGACACAGTTAAATAAGAGCAACACCTGCCGAGAAAGTGGCTAAAAAGCTAATCAACTTTGAAAATCTTTTTGAATAGGAAAACGCAAGTGCCCAATAACCACGCACTTATCCACAGTGGTGAAAAACGTGGAAGACGGTAAAAATGAGAGGAACCGGATTAGCATTACCTTCATCCAGGACAAAGAATCCCATTACTGTCGATTCGCCTGTACATACCTATCCATATGAAGCTGCGAGGCCAGTTGCATTGACACAAATCATGAGTGTCTAATCTCCAGGCATAAGGAATATGCTTTAATCTGGATAAAAACTAAGTTTCAAACATGCACTGCCCGGTTCACGGTAGCTCAGTAGTTAAGATGCGAAATTACTGACCGGAAGGTCTGTGGTTTGAACTCAACCATGGTATCTCGACTGTTTCTGTCTAGGTTTGGAAAACCCGACAGTATCTAAGCCCTCGTGTTTTCTCCAGATGGCCGGGCAGCTAGACACACTGAAAAAATCGACAACGGTCAAATCAACAAAGAGTGAGCAGATTGGTACACAGGGCTAAACATTGATCAGCAAAACATCGAGCTAGAATAATCACGCAGAACAGACATAGAAGGCCAACAATAAAGGCTTAGGCAGTGCACGCAAGGCAGATATTTTATAAGTCCAAAACAAAATTTGTTGACAAGCACACACACCTGTACCGTGGGAAACCCGTGCCCACTGATATCTTTAACCGCTCCTCGACTGCCCTCGGTCTGATACCGGGCCCGATGTTGCGCTTCTGGTTGACGTAGGATAACAACACGAGCCTGACTACGAACCGAATAGTCGGGGAAGAAAGCATGTGGGGATGGTGCAGAGGGAAAGGAGGCCAAACTGATCGGGAGCGAGCCGTAGCCACCACGAATATCGTCCCCCTGAGCTGGAACAGACAGAGAGCGGATACACATCACAGATGTGATGTCAACTGGAATATCAGGACCGTTAGACAAAGGAAACAAACTGTCTGTTAGCAAAAGTTGTACACCAAGCTTCAGCAAGCAGTCCTCGTCGGGTGTACAACACACTGGAGTGGTGATATGACCACGTTCCGTTGACCATCCAAAAACCCGATTAGGGTAACATAATTTCAAGGTGGAGTCATCAAACTGCAATAGATGATGATAAACAGCAAGAATATGGTATAGAATAGCAAAAAATGCATGAGAATGTATAGCGGTCCCGTTTGTGAATTATCGCTCACCAAAGATAAGAAGGATAGGGGAGTGAAAGAGTTGAAGCGATATTCTGTATAAGCTTGGTGTATGTAGTCAGGCTGACGAGGCAAAGGTGTCAGATTTCTCTAGAACGAGTGCCTGGATTAGCTGCAGGGTGAGAACGGCAGAACTGATATCAGAGCCACATTTCAGTAGGATCCCTTTTGAAAATGTGCAATTTGTTCACTTGAACCATATCTGTAGGTGAATGTCTGGGAACAGCTAGATTCCGCAGACAGGCGTACAGAATGCTCTTACCACATCAAAAACAAAGATGAGGGATTCTACGCCAGAACAGTCTTCGAATGTGGAGGACTCGTGAAGACGCTTTTACGGAACCTTTATGGGGGAGATGGCTCCGTGGTTAGAGTGCGAATTTCCTGACCAGAAGATCCGTGGTTCGAACCAGGCCTCTGCCTCTCTGCTCCTCCTGTCTAGGCTTGGGAAACCTGGCAGTATCCCAGTCCTCATGTTTTCTTCTGATGGCATGGCACTTAGGTACCGAAAGGGTGCTGCAGCTGAACGATTTTTATGGGTCCCCAAAAGCTAGGGTTCAGTAAATGGAGATGAAAATTAAGATCGAGCAAGTTTAATCGATAAAAACTGTCACTGGAAGTCGTCGAAAGCAACGACAATGTCTCGGTATCCACGGGAATGCGATACACGATTGAAACATGTCCTCCAAAATCCAGTTTCAGACTAGTTCATCAAGACCTGACTCTCACGGCGGCCCATAACCTGGAAAACGTACCTTGGGTGTCATGACCATAAGGCTGAGACCCACGTACCCTTTGGTAAACTGCGCTCACATTGGCTTCCACCAACGAAATCCAGCTGTCAGGATTTTTGCCATAAAACACAAAAAGTAGGATGCAGTTCCACGATTTCGGTGCCTTGGCACATCAGCGGTACCTAGATTCCATTCGCATGGGTATGATATTCCGGACCGTGAGCTGCAACAAAACAGCCTAGTGGGTAAAATGAGTACACCCACCGTGAACCGTCACGAAGAGACTGGAACTTACCGTAGTGCGACGGTCCTTTATTTTACGTGCTGGCGATTTCGCCTCGTTATAAAGTATATGTTTACGAACAACCTCGTTGTGCATAGGTTGCAACCAACAAACTGCCACCAGGAAAGCACCAATGATCAAGTGTTTGGAAGCGTTCAGGCCTTCAGAGCGAAGAGGGAACGTTTCACGATCATGAAGTTTCGCATCCTGCTACGCAGATTAAGCTCTTCAACTGAAAGTTTCAAAGAGACGCAAGGGGGTGGAAACCTCGAAGCAAAAACTACACTTTCGAATTGAGAAACTCATGCTGGAACAAGGCCTCATATCCTGTATTTTGTCTACAGCAGATGGTGTGAACCAGTGATAACTGAATAACAAAACGGCGTCGTCCACCATAGTCTAAACCATACTACGCATTATTTCATTGTCGGACGAGAGTGTGGAAAATTCGGTTGTAGGCATCAGACGTTTCCATTCGCACAATGGCCACGGTAAAACACGAGTGTTTAAAACCGGCAAAGCATTGGTGCCATTTGGGTACATCGATTGTGTGCGGTGTAAACTGATGAAAACACAAAAACAATGGCGGTCAAATTACCTAAGCTTCATGGACCACCGTTCACATGTAAATATGGACCCACTTATCTCGCACTTGTCACGGGATCGCAGCGCAATCAGAGATGCATCACTTTACTGAATGGCTCACACACTCACTCGACACTTACTTGACAAGCCAGCCAATAGTAGGCATGAGTTTGTCTACACCAACAGTTTACGTGAGGTACATATTAGAAGGTAATATCCGCCACAAAGAGACCTTGTCGTGGTGTGACGGTTTGTGTGCCTCCGTGACCAACTGAGCTAAACAGGACGTACCAATGCGACATTCTCAGAGTCCCTCAAACCAGGTTGGTCCGAGAAACAAAACTTTCTGGCCCTCTACGTTGGGGGGTAGAATGCCAATCGTCCTCCTGTTTAGGTGTGGGCACCCTGACAGTAACCCAACCCATGTACAACCATGAATTTCACACATACAAATAATTTCACGCCACATTGACCGTCGTGTCGTGTCAACAACCAGGTCGCTTTATTTGCTGTATACATTGCAGCGGGTAAGCGAAAATAGGCTATTGCTGACGCCTCTCTTGTTTCTCTCTCACACACTTTTACTTCCCCCTCTTCTCACCCCAACCGTTACGAATGATGAATGTCTTCGTCTTGCATCGGTTTTGCAGACAACATCTGCGCGTTGTCCGGCGCCGACATCCTCAGACATCTCGAAGTCAATATTCTAGTCTCACCGCCCAGTCTATCTGGCTGTCTTCAATGTCCGCACTTTAAAGCAAGCAGGTTTACAAGCTTTGCTCCATCACTCTTCGCTCGCTTCAGGCTGCGCACCTCTGGCTATCCAGATGCCGCTAAGGCAGAACGTGCAGGGATCGGTATCGTCCTGGTCACTGGGTAGAAGAATCTTTGCTTGACTGGATAGCCTTTGATAGTCGCCCGTGTGCGGTTCCTCTGGCACATCTGTGATGAAGTTTCACAAGGAGGAAGTTCATCGATATCTGTTTGTCGTGTGTGCTTACGGTCCAAATCACTGTAGCTCTGACACCATGACGCCCTGGATGCCCTGTTATGGCGAGCTAAAAGCTCAGATATCTTTGTGATTGCCGGAGATCCGAATGCACAAGTGGGCAAGTTTAGTGAATCTAAGACTCAATTAAGTGGCCGACAACGATTGAACTCAGTAAGTACGGACGTTCTGTCATTTTCCAAGCTCCTGATTATCCAGCGTTTGAGGGATTTGCGCGCGTTATCATGGTTGCTAGATACTGGTTGGCATTTCTGGTAGCTATAAGATGTGCTTATCTCGACCATATCCAGTGCTCATTTAGTAGAGACAGGTGTGTTGAACAAATGGTTCTGAAAGCTGAGAGCATAGCTTCATTAACCCGTTTCTTTTAAACCTCCAACCAATCCTCGTCATCTGCATGACTAGCGTTCCCAGCAGCCTTCTAATCAAATCACTCCAATATGCTTGACCTAGCGAAACTTGTCGTACCCCAGAAGGAAAAGCAATCTTTTATTCAGGCTCTCCATCGGTAACCGATAACCACATGGTCCAACTGAATCCATACATGTGTTGAGATTCACTAACTCCAAGTAACTCGGAGTTATTTATTGAAAAACATCAACAGAACAGCTACATACTATGTGACTGGAAAGCAAAACTTTAATATGCATCTCGTTTATAAAAACTGAATATAGGTCTTCTTAAACGCAACTTCCTTGATATTCATTGACTATCTCTCAAACGAATGCTACAAAGCAAATCCACAAATTCTGTAATAAATCCCACTTTCTGATAGACGCGAAGCGAAGTTATGAGAAAACATATTACTCGCATGCCTAATCAGTAGTGTCCATCATTACACCAGATGTCCCAGATTCCCGGAACAAATTTGTCAAGTCTCGTAGCCATGCAACAATTTAACCTGTGCTGTATTCTCATGTTTGTGTCCTTTGAAACCCAGCGATCTACCTTTTTGAAGCCACAAGTTGCGCAAATCCGCAAAAGTAATTCTGGTCTTTGAGATTCGTGCGTTGACTTAGTCTGTCGCATTACCGTCGGAGCCCAAGCAACTTCCGAGATAAGCATAATGTTCCACAAATTGCAGTGTCACTCCGTGAGTTTTTAAGGGCACAATGTAGCGACAACTGTTACCTGAACCCTCGGATCACAACCAAAAATCTAACAAATAGCTGTTACAGCTTAGACAGGCTCCACCACAAACATGCTGCTTCGGCGGTCCTAACGGCACGATGCATCACAACACAATCCGACAGCAAATGTCAACAACTGGGAGCAGCGCAGCAGTTGTACAAATCAGTAGACACCATGGTGAGCAGAAAGACTCAGAGATAAGGCCGACAACCTGCCGCTTAGTGTACAACATACGCTGCAAGGCGACTGTTAAATGTGTAACCACATGTAGTTGCAGGATTTTTAAAATGCGTCCACATGACTTTCGTCTGAACAATCCTCCCATGATGTCTTAGCGTGATTATTCTGGCTAGTCCCCACCAAAGGGAAGATTTTTGATGTGTGAAGTCTGACTGAACTACTAAGCACAGCAACAAAAAAACGGGTAACTTACATGTACACTTCTTTCGCGAATATGTTGTATTGGTTATTGCCGGTAACTGCGGAGCCGGTGCAGTGAATCTGCTCATCCGTTTTCTCCCCTGCGTAAACTGACACAGAGGGCGAATAGGCAGCCCAGTCCCACGTCCTGATGCCTGCGATACAAACCGCGCATACTGCAGACTGTTGGTCGTGTTCCAGTTGGCGCGTGATGCCACATCTGTCAATCGATCCCGGCTGCATAACAGACCGCCGGCCTTGCGTGACATTCCGGGCAGAGCAGTAAGTCCAGGAGCGGTTAATGTATCACGTAGGGAGCTTTCCGTACGGAGAATACAAGTGGAGTGTTTGTACACGAGTGGTGCCCTCACTTTTCGCGTGACAACCAGGTGACCACTGTGGGGTCTACGTAACAAACAGAGAAACGCGAACAAACAAGTCAGGATACGCTAGGATTTAACTGAGAAATGGTGCAAAGGATTATCGGAAGTTAATCTAGTTCAGATCCATCTCAGTTGCCTGTCAGTGAATGGTCACAAGTGGATTAGGAATATACTGGAATGTGATGATAGCCCAAAAAATCCGTTTTTTTTTGTTACTATCTCACGCCCTCCGTGAGGATTAGTAAAGATCAACCTGAGTGGGTACAAGTAGCTAAATCGATTATATGGGCTGGTTAAGGTTGCAGTCAGAGCTTGAAGATATGAAAGGAGAAACCCATTACATTTACATGACCATTGTAACAGCTCATCCAGTGTGTGACAGGTGAAACTATTGGCGTACGGAAAAAGGGTCAACTACCAACGGTCCCACCTTCCGACACTGGGTCAGAATTCGCGCTTATAGTCGAGACATAGGCTCTGATGTCCCTACTATGTACGGTTATATAAAACTCCTTCAATTTCACTAGTTTACCACTGAATTATATGTGGAACTCCTACAAATACCGCTTCAAGACGATGACTGCCTTTACGTACGTGTGTGCACCCCACTGGAAGCCACGGCCGCTACGACTCGTCGAGCTCTTTTCCGTATGCACCAAATATCCCCTCTCACATTTCACACCTTGGAACACCAATTAGAGCCGTAGTTTTATTATATACACTGCTCCACCTTGTCGTTCGAATCCAGCATTCCTCGATAGCTACAGAGTAGCTGGGACTCGACTCCACACTGATTTTCGCCGACACATTCCCCGGGAAGATGACTGTCACATTGAACTCTTAACACACTATGTGCAAGTTGTGTTCTACATCAATGCGGTAAAAACTTGATGGAATAAGGAAGGAGGATGTGTCCGATAATTAGGATCGGCGGCTCCACGAAGTCCTCCACCTTTTAATAAAAACAGTCAGGCGAAATAAAGCAGACGGACAAACAGAAAGACAGACAAACCAGCATTAAAAGCTAGGAGTTAGGGCGATGAGCCAGGGCCGGTTACCATAGGTTTGAGCGACGGTGCTTGTCCAAGCGACAGTGACGGTCGTCTACCAATTACAACCAAATGTTTGCAGCGATAGTAGGAGAAGAGTAAAAAGCATAGTGCAGCGTGATTTCCATTGCATCCCCATTGTCTGGAAATGGATGATTCCGGTTTGGTAGGCCTGTAGTGACTCTCCTTTAGGCTGTGAAGATCATAGAGTTTCTAGTATTTCCCCATGAATATGTACAAAATTGTTTTCGGCATAGGCTGATTACTTTAGCAGGGTACGAACCAACTTCAACATCTCCTCAGTAGCTTAAAAATGAAGAGTAGTGCGTCAACTTAAGGCATTAAAAAGCAGCCGTCTTGAAGTAGCCATCAAGGCAAAGTTGTGACAGTTTGCAAGCATCTAGATCACATCAGTCACAGGGGTAGATGTAAAGATCTCGGTTCGCTCGCATCACTGACCTAGCTGGAACTCCAGTGAGAAGACTAGAAGCGAGGTTACCGTCAACGATTCAACAACAGTGGTATTTGGATTTTTTCGGTTGAAGTACAACTTTATTCCAACTTCGTAGGACAAGGAATGAAGACAAGTTTATGGAACAGACACCACTGTCATCCTTCAAACTGTGCTGTTGGTAAATTGTTCGACTTCCGTGAAGCGCCATGTCTAAGATGTAACATCTTTGGTGCGAACTAACACGCGCTCAACATAGGCTTGACTACATGTACCTTCCTAACCAGATAGGTGCCTTGTCAACATATGAGTATTCGTTTGCAACAATAACTTTATTACACCACTTTTTGGATATGAGACAGCAGATACAAGACCGCAGCTATAAACACATCACACCGTTTAACTCAGCTGTTTGATGCGTTCGCAACGAATGACCCTTTTTGAGGTCACCCGAATTGGTTGAAACTTGTTCCAACTAGACCCGATTGGACAAAACAGGACGTGACACAAACCGGACGAGGGCGATTAATCGAAGCGCAGATTTGTGAATTCGAGGACCCTATTCGTTGGTAAGCTAACTGGTAGCAAATTCAGAAATTGTTGCACTGGACCAGTTTACAGTGAAGCCGAAAAACTGTATCCCTTCCGCGTCAGCAATTTTTGTGTGGCATGGTGTCCACCTTCAAAAGTGTGCAAGGGTGAATTCTGCATCCTAGGTAGCTTACCCCGACGTCGGCTTCACTGATGCAACAAACGCTGGGACCTCATTCAGGCCCTTCTTGTCGCTTGAACACACCGGTCGTCCCACTTTAAAATCGACCGAACGTTTTGTTGTGGGTATCCGTGGGACAGATTCCGATTACCAATGCGCTATTGTGCCCTCCCTATCCTCCTGTCACAATAGCTTGACAAGAACAGGAACAAAGTTGGTTTGTAGCTGGCACATGGAACCTAAGTGCACCATCAGTCATCTCGGGACAAGAGAAACACAAGAAATGAAGCAAGATGAGAACCAAAAGTCTAATTTGTTGTGTGAACTTTTAGGTGCACAGCTCAACTTTCCTGTCTACAGTACCCTCCCCCCATTCGCTGAGCCCCTTCAAAGATGGGTCACCTCTTGGAAAAACAAACTATCCCCGTTTTGAGGTTGTCTCCATCTCTGTCTCAACTGAGATGCTGATAGTGGCACGATGCATAGAACTTACTTGGATGCTACAGTAAGAAGCGTCTTTTTTCCAGGCACTTGATGCGGCCCTTGTGATGAAGGCTTCGGGTGTGGAGAGAAAGATCTCTGGTTTTCTTCTTCAGCAATGTATGCGGATGAGTGTGAGCTTGCAGACGCAAAAGCAGTTTGTGTGTAGGTGGAGTGTGGTGATTCAGGCAACACATTGGTACTACTGTTCAGGCTACTCGTCCAATCCTCCGAAGCAGTAGCGTGGTTCTCCATCACCAGCATCGAGGACGGAATATTCGTGTCGGATGTGACATTTGAGTCGACATTGCTCTGTTGTTGTTGCTGCTGCTGTTCGTTCATAGCAAGCACAGTTGGGCGCAATGCTTCCGTGGTGCATCTTCGATCCAGATGATTATACTGAATAGAAAACAATGAGGCAACTACTGAAGTACGACATTGCTCGTTAGTGAAATAGAAAAACTGGGCGATTCGTATTGGAAACTCCGCCCAAATGCCATGGTCGATGACCACAGCAAACGTAAACAACAGTGCTACCAGCGATCAGTTCTAGTTTGACGTAAAGTTCACACGAAGTCAAATCAGACCATTCACGCCTATGCACCAAGCTGCCATTTAAGCTGAGGGAACTGTATGGACCGGAATACCAGAAGCAGCTGAGAAGGTATACATGAAACAGCCTATGCGCTTAACCTCGGAGGTTCAAAAGCCGAAGCTTTCGCGATTCAAACCCAACCCTTGTTATTCGATCGCTCCTGTCTAGGCTTGCAGAGTGGCTCTGCATTTGAAGGGTGGAAAAACCGGACGGACACTACCATTATTATCATTGTAATTATTACTAATATTAATATTGTCATTAAAGGATGTGTTAAGAGGTTCTTTTATTCAACTAACTGGTGAAACTGAAGCATAACACTGCTGATTAGTTCTCCAGGTCAATAAAACCTTGGGAAAATGACACAGATGAGGTCATGAATTGCTCCATTACAAAAAAGCGTTTGTATGATATTTTGTGGCTTGATGAATCTGTCAGTGAAAAGAAACTTTATTCAGACGTTTAGTTGAGATTTCAAGGACTACTGAACGTTGTTGAATGAATTTTCGTACGATACCTATCGTAATCACATAATAATGCATGCTTGACGCAGCGATGGGAATTGTGTTGTTTTCAGGTACACGAATGCAGTATCTTGCTGCAAAGTAGTAGAAAAGACTACTTAGCCTTAGTCAAATTCCTTGCATTCCAAAAGAACGAAACTCGCAATTATTTCGGTGATTACGATGGAAAAACCTTCTAGGTTGTCGTAAATATGCCACTGAGATGGTTTTCGAAAACCGAACCAACACCGACAAAGTGATTCAGGACCCTGATATGGACCAACATTCTCACGAGCGAATAAAAATTTAGGGTCTGGGAAGGTGGTGAATGAATCCGTCTATTTGAGGACCATAGGTTGTGACAAGGTACGGTCATTTCCGGTGCTAGTTTCACTCACTGAAGACAATGAGATTAAGGAGGTGACAACCACGGGTCGGGGGTGGCGACTCAATCATCAGTTCATTGATGCTAAATTGTTCTGTTTGTCTGATTAAGCTTGGAATGCGACAGCCAACAACATTCGGTGAGTAACTGTTCGTATTTCGTCTGTAAATTGTACTAGAAACTTCTCCTTTGCGTGTAGATGTCCGATATGGTAGGCTACACTGCGCAAACTATGATTACAGTAGTTCGACACCAGAATAAAAATATCAGACGTTCAAATATCACAACAGCCGTTATTCACCAACCTCCGGTGTGGAGAGTTCATTAGACTGTGGGAGCGGTTCGGACGAAGCGAACGCAGGTAATGGAGGCACCGAGGAAATGCTGTCACTATACGACACATGAGGCGTTTCGTGATCAGCTGACAGTCCGGTCGTAGACGAAGTCCCATGAATCGTGGGGCCGCATGGGAAGTCGTTTGGACCGGCAGGTATCATGGAATAGGACTGTGAATTGTTCACAAAGTCGGCCGCTTCAGGTAGCTTCAGAGAACTTTCAGCTGTGATCCCCGTAGGTTCACTTAAACAGAGGCTTCCGTAGTGATTTATCATTGAGGTTTGCGTGTCATCATTGTTCTGCAGAAATATCAAAGAAAACGTGGTCACCAAAGATGATTTCATGTACGGACAATTCATTCACACCAGAAAAGAAAGCCGTGTTAGTTAGGTTGGTCAAAGGGTATAAAAAGATAAGAACATGGTGAATCAGAATGAAACTCAACGTGCGGCGATAAGCGAGAGGTGGCGGGCCGAATTCCCGTACAAGTACTGGTCTTTTCGGCTGAAGTATATGCCTAGGTCCATATTACAAAAATCCGCGATGCAGCTCAACGACTAAGGCCCGAACTTACTGAATGAAACATAGTTGATTCACACCCAACCTAAGTACCTTGACTGCTCCTGTATAAGCATGGGCAACCTGATAGTATCCCAGCCCTTGTGCTTCCTTTGAGTAACATTGCAGCTGAGTACCGAAAGGAGGTTACAGCTGAACGATAAAGGCTTTTAACACGATCATATTACCGACACAATGTACTTTGATCGTGTTTTAAAAGCAGTCTTCCATGTAGCCCATGAAACGTTGACGCATACCAGTTTGTCTGGAGGTTGCTTTTTGTGCAGAGACCAAGACCAATATTACCAAACCGTCTGAAAGAAACGGTTGTACCACAACAACGCTGCAGTCACAAACAGAATAATACAGTGGCCCCCCTCCCCATGTGAATGGGCCACGGTGATGTTCAAGACTAGTGTGTGGTTAAAGGGTGAGCACCGGTTTAACAGCCTGTCATGATTTGAAATCATGGATTAATGGCGTACCAGCAGGATAAACACTTCTTTCGGTGGAAATATACGTGCAAACACCATCTGGCCTCAGGTTTCGACGAAGTAAAAAACATGCGATGAGATCACAAGTACAGAACGAAGAGAGTCTCCGTTGCGGTTGCAGTCGGTGTTTGTAAAATAGCAACTTTTTAGCAAAATATGTACCTTGACTACATGGTGACCTTGATCAAGAAGTTTCTACTATACTGCAGGCATCATAAAAGTGAGTCGCAATATTACTCACTCGTCTGTGTTTGACTGTACTGCTTTTTGCTGGTACGGTCACTAAGGGCGTTTGCAGGAGGGAACACTGAGTCCACTCAGATCGTTCCCCGAAATCGGTTTAGCCGCATCCCTTGTGCTCATCTTGGCATAGAAAGAGTATCAGACTAAATATCAGACTAAATATCAGACTCGCTGGGCGAAGAAAATCGTGCCAGTAGCTAGACAGTTAGATTAACAAGACCAATTTTGAGACGGCCGACAACCACGTAGTTAATGTCACTTGAGGTAAACCTTACTCGATTGCACAATCAAATGACAGATACTAGTCGGTTGAGCAACTGCGATATAGGAAGATACGTATTGAGAGTCGTTATGTGTTCGCATACCAGGTGTAATTGGCGAGTATTACTCTGATTTGTACGTCCCCTAGCACACTGTACAGTTTGGTGAGTCAAACCTTTACGATGAACCGCGTTATAAGGAGTTCAGATTCACTGAGGACCTTGATGTGCAACTCTCCCATATTCCTGCCTCAGAAGTGTAAACAACAAGACAGAGGTCACGGTCACTTGGGATGTGCGTCCTTGGTTTAAATGGGAGCAGAACAGGCACACTGCGCACTGTTCAGACTAAGCTGGTTGTGGTAGGGGGATAAACTCAGTGTTGCTTGTTCCTTCGAACTAGGTGTTGAGGGAGCCTGGATCTTCCCCTTTACCGCAGAGCGCGTACACACACGGCATTAGCGGGTCACGGGAGTTGCGTGTACACCACTGTGCGCAAACCGCATTAGTCAGCAAGTGAAAGGCGGTAGTTTGTGAGAAATCACTGCGCAATTCCAACACACGGCATGGGTCACGGGAGTTGCGTGTACACCACTGTGCGCAAACCGCATTAGTCAGCAAGTGAAAGGCGGTAGTTTGTGAGAAATCAATCA